CTAAAATTAACACTAGAGCTAATACTAATATTAACACTAGAGCTAACACTAATATAAACACTAGAGCTAACACTAATATTAACACTAGAGCTAACACTAATATAAACACTAGAGCTAACACTAATATAAACAGGGGCACTAGGCCTAACTCTAACTGAGGGAATACTAATATTAACACTAGAGCTAACACTAATATTAACACTAGAGCTAACACTAATATTAACACTAGAGCTAACACTAATATAAACACTAGAGCTAACACTAATACTAGAGCTAACACTAATATTAACACTAGAGCTAACACTAATATTAACACTAGAGCTAACATTAATATTAACACTAGAGCTAACACTAATACTAATACTAGAGCTAATACTAATATAAACACTAGAGCTAACACTAATAAAAACACTAGAGCTAACACTAATACTAGAGCTAACACTAATATAAACACTAGAGCTAACACTAATATAAACACTAGAGCTAACACTAATATTAACACTAGAGCTAACACTAATACTAGAGCTAACACTAATACTAATACTAGAGCTAATACTAATATAAACACTAGAGCTAACACTAATATAAACACTAGAGCTAACACTAATATTAACACTAGAGCTAACATTAATATAAACAGGGGCACTAGGCCTAACTCTAACTGAGGGAATACTAATATTAACACTAGAGCTAACACTAATATAAACACTAGAGCTAACACTAATATAAACACTAGAGCTAACACTAATATAAACACTAGAGCTAACACTAATATAAACACTAGAGCTAACACTAATATTAACACTAGAGCTAACACTAATATTAACACTAGAGCTAACACTAATATAAACACTAGAGCTAACACTAATATTAACACTAGAGCTAACACTAATATTAACACTAGAGCTAACACTAATATAAACACTAGAGCTAACACTAATACTAGAGCTAATACTAACATTAGAGTTGATGATAGGGCTAGCACTGGAGCTAACACTGAAATAGAGCTAACACTGTCTCTAGAGCTAAGAGCAGAGCTAACACCCCTGCTAAAAACACAGCACAGATTTATGCTGGTTTAGTGCTGATCGGGTTCTGGTGTGGCTGGTCACCCCAGCATGGTCATGCTGGTTGACCAGCATACCAGCATCCAAAACCCAACATATACTGGTTTTCTCTACCCTAGAGCTACACAATACTAATGCTAGCTAACACATTTTCATTTCATGCTGATCTAAGCTGGTTTATGCTTGTGGTCATGATGGTTGACCAGCATCCAAAACACAACACACAACACGCTGTTGCAGCCATGCAGGTCTATACTGGTTCTTCTAGCCGAGCTAACAGTAGCGCTAATGCTAATGCTAGTTGGTGCAGTGTTAGGAGGTAAGTGTGACCCAGTGGCAGCAATGCAGAGGGGTCCATTAATAACTCTTATTTATTATTTAAATGTAATTACACGTCTTAACCACTTTGCATTGTGCCACACATTTCGGTTCGGTCAAATGGAGTCGAGGCAGCGTCTCCTTTCTTACCTCAACAAAAAAATGCAGTCATAACTGACATATTTTCAGTTAGTAAGTCGAACAGCTTTCCTGGCTTCAGCCCAGTGAGGTTTCAGTCAGGTGTCAGCTAGAAATGATTGTTTGTCTTCCTTCTCCTGTTACAGTGAGGAGAGGCCTTTCCTGTCCTCCAGAATAGCACAGCGTGTGTGTGTGAGTGTGAAATGCTCACCAGTGAAAATATATACACATATCTCCAAGTGTGTGAGACGTAAACAGAGTCAGTCAGAGTGGTTTGGTGTGAAATGGTTGATTGTAGAGATTATTTTACAGTGGTGCTGATAGGAACCAGGGGTCGCCATGACTACAAAACAAATACAGACATTTTATTTACTATCCAGAACCACCAGTGAACCTACACGAGTCTTCTGAGTTTATATGGAATGTTGATGATGGAAATAGTGGAAAATCTGAAATAATAAGTTTTCTTTGGGGACTATTTTGCCTCACAGCGCCCTGCATGTATCCCTCCACCATGAATGGAGTTTAAGTTCTCTAAACTATCATAAAACAGTGTCTCAGTCATCAGGCAGTGAATTCATAACCATTTCATGTAGGAACTTTCTGTGAGGGAGCTTTTAGAGGTGGACGTCTGGTTCCTATCACCACCACTGTGAACAGTTCTGACTCGGTAAGTTATCTAGAACAGAGCGTTTCACACCAAACCACTCTGAACCACTCTGAACTGCTCTGTTTACATCCTTAAGCTCTGCTTTGATTTGAGTTACTTGAGTCTTTGAATTGTGTTTTCTCCTCTAAATGGATTTAACATTAAAGCAGACCTGCTCAGAGAAACACTGCTGTTTTAATGTAAACCTGCACCTTTAAAATAAGTCGTACTGCTTTCTCCATAATGGTTGTATATTTTGGGGTAGATATGCATTAACAGTGATGATGTAATGATGTCCTGTGTGTGTGTGTGTGTGTGTGTGTGTTAGACGTGTCTCAGACGTCTCCTTCGTCCCTTTCGGAGCAGCTCATGTTGGGTCGAGATGAAGCTGCTGGGATAAACGTGGAATGCCGGATTTGTGGAGACAGAGCTTCAGGATTTCATTATGGAGTGCATGCATGTGAAGGCTGCAAGGTGAGAGCTCCATCACCATCATCACCACTATCATCACTAAAATGATCATGTCTCCTGTCACCATCATCACCATCAACACCACCACCATCACCATCCCATCATCATTGCATCACTATTGTCATGTCACCATCAACACCACCATCATCATCCCTGTTGTCACATCACCATCATCCTCATCACCACCATCATGACATTCATTACTATAATCAGCATGACCATAATTTCCATCATCTCTATCATCACATCAACACCATCACCATCTAATCATCATTCCCATCATCAACACCAGCATCATCACTGTAGTCACTGTCACCATCATCACCACCACCATCATATCATCCCTATCATCTCTAGTACCATCACCACTAACATCACCATGATAATAATAATCTGTATTTATATTGCACTTTTTGTGCTGGTGGCAACTCAGATTGCTTTACAGACAGTGATGAAGCTTAACAGTAATAGGAGAAACTATGAGTATTCATTTAAAATCAAACGAGACAATAAAACATAAAATAAAAAAAATGTTTCTTAAAAGTGTGTTCATTACCTTTATTACCTTTATCTTTACCTTTACCATTTTTGTCGACACAATCACCATTAATCTCATAATCATAATGACTACAATAACCATAATTACTATCACTATCATCAAATCATCCCCATCACCATCATTATCATCATCACCATCATATCTCAGCTGTAACGTGTCTGTTTTTTCAGGGTTTTTTCCGGCGGACGGTGCGAATGAAGCTGGAGTATGAGAAGTGCGAGCGGAGCTGTAAGATTCAGAAGAAGAACCGTAATAAGTGCCAGTATTGTCGCTTCCAGAAGTGCATGATGCTGGGCATGTCTCACGACGGTGAGCAGCTCCTGCAGGATCATTCAAATGTTATTTATTCTGGAGTTGTTTGGAGCTGCTGGCTGTACTAGATGGATCTTGATGGTTCTCTCTCCCTGTCTGTCTGTCTGTCTGTCTGTCTGTATCTGTGTCGGTCTGTCTCAGCGATCCGGTATGGCCGTATGCCGGAGGCTGAGAAACGGAAGCTGGTGGCCGGATTGCTGGCCGGTGAGACCACGGGCTCTCAGACCTCGGGCAGCTCCAACCTCAAAACACTCGCGAAGCGCGTCAACACCGCCTACCTGAAGAACCTTAACATGACCAAGAAAAAGGCTCGCAGCATCCTGACTGGCAGGACCACTTCCAGCCCGGTACAATCACAGTCACAAACACGATCACAGTCACAACCGGAATCACAAACAGAATCACAACCAGCATCACAATCGGAATCACAATTACACTCCCAATCACAACCAGGATCACAACCAGCTTCACAGTCACATTCCCAATCACAACCAGGATCACAATCAAAATCACAATTACACTCCTAATCACAACCAGCATCACAGTCACACTCCCAATCACAACCAGGATCACAACCAGCATCACAATCAAAATCACAGTTACACTCCTAATCACAACCAGCATCACAGTCACACTCCCAATCACAACCGGGATTACAATCAGCATCACAATCAGAATCATAATTACACTACTAATCTCAACCAGGATCATAATCAGCATCATAATGAACATCATAGTCACATTCCCAATCACAACCAGCATCACAATTACACTCCTAATCACAACCAGCATCACAATCAAAATCACAATTGTACTCCTAATCACAACCAGCATCACAGTCACATTCCCAATCACAACCAGGATCACAACCAGCATCGCAATCACGCTCCCAATCACAACCAGGATCACAACCAGCATCGCAGTCACGCTCCCAATCACAACCAGGATCACAACGAGCATCACAATCACACTCCCAATTACACTCCCAGTCACAACCAGGATCACAACCAGCATCACAATCACACTCCCAATTACACTCCTAATCACAACCGGCATCACAATCATAATCAAAGTCACATTCCCAATCTCAACATGCATCATCAGAATCACAATCACACTCCCAATGTCAACATACATCATAATCACAGTCACACTCCCATCTCAACCAGCATCACCATCAGAATCACAATCACACTCCCATCTCAACCAGCATCACCGTCAGAATCACAATCACGCTCCCATCTCAACCAGCATCACCATCAGAATCACAATCACACTCCCATCTCAACCAGCATCACCGTCAGAATCACAATCACGCTCCCATCTTAACCAGCATCACCATCAGAATCACAATCACGCTCCCATCTTAACCAGCATCACCGTCAGAATCACAATCACGCTCCCATCTTAACCAGCATCACCATCAGAATCACAATCACACTCCCATCTTAACCAGCATCACCATCAGAATCACAATCACACTCCTGTCTCAACCAGCATCACCATCAGAATCACAATCACGCTCCCATCTCAACCAGCATCACCATCAGAATCACAATCACACTCCCGTCTCAACCAGCATCACCATCAGAATCACAATCACGCTCCCATCTCAACCAGCATCACCATCAGAATCACAGTCACACTCCTGTCTCAACCAGCATCACCATCAGAATCATAGTCACAATAAGCATGATGATCACCCACTCTCTCTCTCTCCCTCTCTCTCCCTCTCACTCCCTCTCTCTCCCTCTCACTCCCTCTCACTCCCTCTCTCTCTCTCTCTCTCTCTCTCACTCCCTCTCTCTCTCTCTCTCTCTCTCTCTCCGTCTTTCTCTCTCTCACTCCCTCTCTCTGGTAGCCGTTCGTGATCCATGATATGGACTCGCTGTGGCAGGCTGAGAACGGCCTGGTGTGGAACCAGCTGGTGAACGGAGCTCCGCCCCATAAGGAGATTGGAGTGCATGTGTTCTATCGGTGTCAGTGCACCACAGTGGAGACGGTCCGGGAACTCACCGAATTCTCCAAAAGCATCCCGGGATTCGTCGACCTCTACCTCAATGACCAGGTAGACACCTCAGTACTTGGTAGTTACATTAGCCTCTCAGATTCAATGCAAATAAGCATATATATATACTTTAAATTTGACTTCCAGCCAAAACTGAATAAATCAAAAAGACCCTTCAGCATGTTGTTGAGGTGTGTGAAGGTGCAGTTCTCCTCTGCTCCTGTAGGTGACGCTGTTGAAGTACGGGGTGCATGAGGCGATCTTTGCCATGCTGCCGTCTCTGATGAACAAGGACGGGCTGCTGGTGGCTAACGGCCGCGGCTTCGTCACGCGGGAGTTCCTGCGGAGTTTGAGGAAACCCTTCAGCGACATCATGGAGCCGAAGTTCGAGTTTGCCGTGAAGTTTAACGCGCTGGAGCTGGACGACAGTGACCTCGCACTGTTCGTCGCTGCCATCATCCTCTGTGGAGGTACGAAAGCACACCAGAGTCAACCTCCTTCACCACATCACGCTTAGGCTGTTAACTGTTCTGTTTCGCCTGAAATGGCGTACCCAAAGTAAAAGGGGGTCTAGAAGAGTGTAGAATAAAGGAGAGTCAAAGTGTGAAATAAAGGGGGTCCTGGGGGGGGTTGGGGACCCCCTGCATGTCTCAAAATCAAAGTTCTGGGGGGTCCCTGAAGATAAACTTATGACGTTATGCTGTCCGTTAGAGAAAAACTTTTTTTTGGATTTTGGCTAATTTTGCTAATTGGTGGGGTCTAAATTCAGACAGACACTGTGGGATTTTAGAAATCTTGTTCTTTGGTGACTCACACTGTAGTTTGAATCGTCCATCGTGTTCGGACAAAGCTACGATTTTTAAACTCATACTGTATGAAAAGGCTTCGTCCGACTGAACGTGACGCGACATGGGATTCAGCCGTCAACAAACCGCTACAGCGCTGGAGCACTAAAACTAAAGAATCAAAGTGTCTTGGCTTAATCTATAGATATACATACCAAGATGCTGCGTTGTCTGTTGTTCTCTATGTGAGGCGATACGTCTGCGCGTCCGCCTTGTTGGAGAGGTCAAGATCCGCTTGTGAACAGATTCACTTGTACTGAGAGACGAAGAGTCTCAGGATTAAATCAGCCACAACTTCCTTATTACTCAACCGATTTTCACCAAATCTGTTTAGTTATAATCCTCAGACACAGATTAATCCAGGCTGCACGGATCTGCTCTCGGTAGCTTTTATTACTGTAATAACTGATCGTGATAATTAGCCAGTAGCTAGGACAGTATTCAGTCTGCACCTGACATTAAAAACCGAGTTTAGCGCGAGAAACACAATCAGACACATCAGCAAATCCATCAATGAGTGAATCACTTCTAATCTTAATACACATAAAATAAAATAAACCCTGAAACACAGAAGGATGAAGCTAAAGTTGTCTTTCTATTCGCCATCTTCTTGTTCGAGTTTTCCCGTTCCACCTTAAATGGTGCAGCTTCAGGCACCAGAAAGTAACAGCTGCACCATTTAAGGTGGAATGGGAAAATTTGAACAAGAAGCTGGCAAATAAGAAGCTAACTTCAGGTTTGTGTAAGAAGGTGCTAATGTTAATCTATTATGGATACCTACATGGATTAAGGAGTCCTATAACTTACCGCTACAAAGCTTTAACCATCACTGTAAAGAAATACCTACTGCATAAAGTTAAGATCCTGAATAGACTATTAAATGAAATGAGCTTAATATAAAACCAGAGGAAAAACAATCACATCAACAGGTTCTCTGTGCTTCACCAACCACACGGCCATATCTACACAAACATCACACAGACAATACACATCACACAGACATATATATATAATCCTATCCCACTTTCTGGGTGTGATATTCCTGAAACAGTTGATTTTGGACAGTATCTTTCTTAAACTGCCGCTCTGTAATGGTACTGAATGCAGTCCAGCAGCGATGTTGACCGCCCTACAATGGCAGTGCCGTTGACGTGCCTGGCTGGACCCAACGCGGCATCTAGGTCTGTATATCTATGGCTGAATCTGTTGAACTGTCGCTTCATTCCTGTTCCTGTGTGTTCCTGTGCAGACCGGCCCGGCCTGATGAACGTGAGGCAGGTGGAGGAGATCCAGGACAACATCCTGCAGGCTCTGAACCAGCACCTTCAGACCACACACCCCGACAACACCTACATCTTCCCCAAACTGCTGCAGAAGATGGCCGACCTGCGGCAGCTGGTGACCGAAAACGCACAGCTGGTCCAAACCATCAAAAAGACGGAGTCGGAGACGTCCCTGCACCCCCTGCTCCAGGAGATCTACAGAGACATGTACTGACGGCCTGACGCTCAGACGGACTCGAACTGAAGAGACCGAGAGCCAAACTGTATCACGACGCTGACCTGCAGCCGGACAGACGTTGAAACCCCGAAACCAAGATTTCTATTTTCTCTTTTGGATGAAAGTTACTATTTTTGTAAGATGTTTGTACTCTGAACTCTGAGTGGAGGGCGGCCCACTCTGAGCCTTTCTCCACAGCCTTTACGCATCTATGCATCTCTTAGCGTGAGAGATCGTTCTCTGCAAGTGCTTAGAGCTACCTTAGCTTAGCTTAGCTTAGCATAACTTAGCTTAGCATAACTTAGCTTAGCTGATGTTATTTTTACTTAGCTTCGCAAATCACAGCTTACACTCTGTAAATAAAGGTGCCGCAAAGGGTCAGTGCTGGGAAAGAACCTCTAAAGCTCCCTAAAGAACTGTGCTTGTAAAAGAAGATGTGTGAAGAACCTTTTAAAGGTGTAAAGAACCTGGTTCTCTACCAGTTTAAGGGTTCTTTCCAGAACCTTTACATTTTTTATTTTAATAAACTTCTTCATCTCATTTATGCTGCAAAAAAATTCTAAACAAGTGGAAACATCTTAGCTGTAGTCAATACGTCTAATATTCCTCATTAAGAGATTGTTGTAGGCATATTATAAGATTTTGTATAAGATTGGTTTTAAGTAATTTTAGCTATTAACAGTGTTTCATTCCATTGACAGATAATTTTACTTGTTTCAAATATTATTTCTTGAAATTAGCAAAATTATAAGTAAAATTCTCTTAATTGAATAAAACACATTTACTAGAAAAAATGACTTAAAACAAGTAAACAATGTCCAGAAACAGGTTAAATAATCTCATAATATTCTTACAATAATCTTATAGTGAGAAATATTAGATATATTGACTAGATTTATGATGTTTTCACTTGTTTAGATATAATCTTTGCAGTATACAAAAACAGTTCTCTTAAGAACCATCCATTTAAAGGTTCTTTAAGGAGCCAAAAATGGTTCTGCTGTGGCGTCATGCGAAGAACCCTTTCTGGCAGGTTTATTGAGAAGACTGTAGCTGCTCTTCCTCCCTCAGGCCGCGGGTCGTGGACCAGCTTATCGTCATACAGCTATGCTAACACTCACAATCTTTAGCAGATCTGAAGAGTTTAGCTTAGCGCTGCGTTCTCTGGTGAACGAGGCAGTTTGATCAGTAACAAAGGAAACGTTCTGGATAACAGAGCACTGTGAGAACATAAAGCAATAATGACGACAGAAACTTCACAGCTTTAGCTGTTTTAGCTCTGCTAGACAGCGTAGCCTCTGTAGCTAACGGTGTAGCCTACAGCCTTAACGTAGCTAGCAGTGCTAAAACAGCTGAAGCGTCCCCAGCTAACAATGCGGCATGATAATCATTCCTGTTCTCGTGCTGCTCTCAGCAGAAAACACACATGCGGCCCCTCACGCTGCGCTAGCTTGTGGCGCTCAGGTCCAGTGTGGAGTGCTGAACGACGCAGGAACTTCCTCTTTGCCAAAATACATTTGATGGACAGATTGTTACAACTTAATAACCTCAGACTGTTTTTTTGTTTGTGTTTTTGCTGTTAAGGCCGTCGCACACCGGACGCATCACGCAGCGTCACTCAGCAGAGCGCTGCTGTAGAACACCAGCAGGGGAGACGATAAGCGCCAGGTTTTACACTCTACTCATAAATTAAAAGGAATAAATCATTCAGCATCACTCATCACCCTCAGCATCAGGTTTCTACCTCTACACAGACTGGCTGTTATCGAGCTCTGAAAGGCTAGGCTAGTAACGCTAGCTGAGGTAACCTAGCGTTAGCATCTGTCTGTTTGTCTGAAAGACTGACTGCCGTCCTCGGTATGAATTTATAGCCACCACTGAGGCTCTCTGTGGTCTCAGTATGGCTTTCGTTTAATGTACACTGCAAAAATGGTGTCTTGTCAAGTAAAACTATCTTAAATATAGTCGATAAAGCTAATATTTCTCCTGTTGAGATTGTTGTAAACTTAAAAAGATCATTTACCTAATTTCTAATTTTACATTTTATACTTGTTTTAAGTCATTTTATTAAGTAAAATTATCTCACTATATTGAGATAATATAAAACTGGAGTAGTAGAGGGGCATACCAAGAGACGGAGTCGACTAAGCAAGCACAAATCCAAAACCGGCGAAACAGAGTCACGTGGGAGTCAGAGGCATCATGGGAATTGGAGTTCTGTTTGGCTCGGGAGCCGAAGGGAGGCGTGACAACAACCATCTCAAAATGTGAAATAAGATCGTTTCACTTGACAAGATACCATTTTTTGCACTAGTGGCTAAACACTGTGTGATGCACTGAGAAGCCGAACAGAGCTCGGAGTCGCGCCGCGCCGGTGTGTGAGTCTCCGTTAAAATCAATGGTTTTGAGTTTTTGGACGATGCGGCGCGTCTGGTGTGCGAAGCCTGTGGTGTTCTGAGCGAGTGGGCGATAAAGCTGTGAAGAGAATCACAGGGTCCTGATCTGGTTATGATTACTGAACAGTTTATTGAAGATTATTTTTTATTCTTTATCAGTTATTTGTGTCTCATTAGCCAAAACTTTGTTTATTAATACAAACTGATTCTGTTTTTTTATCCACAATGAAGTCAGATCGGTTATGATTGGCTTGATGTAAGTGGGACGTTATTGATCTGATGTACAGCTGCCCAACGTGGACAGAGCAGAGATTATTTTGTCGGCCTTTGTATCCCAGCGGCGTGGCTGAGGACAGTTATGACAAAAATCACAGTTTTTCAGACTGCAGGAAGGTCTGTGATTGGTTACAGCCGTAGATATACGTATCAGAGACCTGGACAGTGATGTGAAACCACTTGGCTGCTATAGATGTGATGTAAACATGGTCCCTGGAAGCTGCATATCTAATGAAAATGCCCAATTTAAGAGTCGAGACGTTTCCTGTGGTATTATCCATGTAGGAGTTTTATTTTGTGTAAAAAAGCTGAGATTACTGACGTTAGCTTGCATGTATTGTCTAGCTTTATGTGCATTTAGCAAAGCTAGCTAGCCCAATTTCAGCTACCTTAAAACTAAAAGTTAGCGAAAGCAATTTTACCTAACGGATTAAAGCTGGTTGACCTAACTAAGCTATTTATTCCACAAAGTTCAGTTAAACGAGTGTGTTATTATCTAAAGTTAGCTTGTGGATGTTGTAGCTTCATTTTTAGCAGAGTGAGCTTAAAGCTAACTTAACTAAAGTTAACAATTTTAGCAACCAAGCAAAACTACAAGTTAGCAAACGCTTAACTTAGATAAGTTAGCCAGTTTACCGAGCTCAGTACAGCTATCAAACTCAACTAGCTGACCAGATTATCTCATTGTCCTGTTTTTGTATTGATTATTATGTCCATTAATTTTATATCTATAATTTTTCCTTTTATTTTTGTGCTATTATTATTATTTTTTTTCTCTTTTATTTCTATGGGTGTAAACACCTTGATAAACCGAAATAAATGTATTAATAATGATAATAATAATAATGATGATAATAATAAGAATTTGCTACATTAGGCTGTTTATTTCAGTTCAGTTTAGCAAGTAAGTAAAAACTCTCGATCGCTTACACAAACTATTATTATATATGAATATTTTAAAGAAAAAACCTTGAAAACAATCAGTGAAAGTCAGTATGAGGCTGATGGGGAGCACTTACATTCAGGGAGTATGTGCTGCTGGATAGCTTCAGTAGAGCGCCCTCTGGAGGCTAATCTAGGTCTCTAATATGTATATGTGTGGTTAAAGCACATGACAGAGTTGTGTGAGATGTGCTGGAACAGTTACTGCTGAGTTACGATGGACACGGTTGTTTCTGTTGCTAAAAGCAAAATGCTAACAGAACGCACCACGTTTTGCCATAAATGCTGCTCCTGCATTATTTTCTATTGCAGATGCCAAATCCTGTGCTAACGGTTAAAGTGATGTGCTGTGCAGCGCTAACTCTCCGAGTACCGCACCACCCATTAAAGTGATATTTGTGCGGAAACCTTCTGAGTTTAAAGCCGATTCACAGCACGCCCGATTTATTTGGACGAACAAACAGATTTTTAACGTAGCGGGACTTTTACACCGAATCCGACCATATATTTTCTTTAACCTCTGTATTATTATAGTCATTGTGCTGCAGGTCGTATAAACTCTTGTGCTCTGCTACAAACATAATGAGTTCTGCCACCATCTTGATTTGTTTGGGCTGCGTCCACATAGTGCAGAAAAGCAGCGTCGCAGTCTGTTGGTTTCGGACTCGATGTGAAAGGCGGGATTAATATACATGTTCGCTTTCATAACTTGATGTTTTTTCGTCCATAAAAATCGAACAGTGTGAATAGGCCTTCACCCTGAGTGTAGTCGATCAGCCAAGACATGTTTGGTGTCTGAAGGTTGTTTGTTTATGCCGGGATCAGACGACAAAAATTCAGCCTAACTTTGACACGATTTTGTCGCAGCCAACAAATTCCCAGCGTCGACCCCAGTAAGAGCGTCGGGAACGATGAACGGGTCCTTTATTGTGACATCATCACAGTGATGTGGCATCTGGGACGCCCCGTGAAAAGTCCAGCATGTCAGAATTGTTCATTTCCTGCCTCATCTAACGTCTCCTTCGACGTGCTCCTCGTCATTAACCAATAACTGCTGTTTTAGCTTTAAGGTGGAACAACGAAACAGGAAAGGTTCTTTGAGCTGTGGCAGCAGAACCCCTGCCTTTCTGCCGTCTCCTCGAGGGAGAACCATGACCGAGTCATAAAAGATAAACGTTAAAAAGAGAAACAGCGTTTATAGAGACTGTTATATGTAGAGAGAGACCAGAGAACCTGGTAGCTCTGTTTATGTAATGTTCTTGATATGGTAACACGTTCGTTAGCGGTTCTCTCTGAAGGACAGATGACCCACACTGTCCTCTTCTGACACCCAGAGACGGCTCCACATTCACTTTCATCTTCTTTTTCTCTTCAGAACAAAAAACCACTTCTTGACCTGCCTCGCCGACAACCTATGAACTCACGCAAGAGCCTGAACGATGGTTGTTTGGCGTCTTGTTGTGCTGCCAGTCTCTCGACCAAGACACGGCACCAAATCATGGCACTACGATTGCCTAATTTGACCATCCGGTGAGACAAAAATACCGTGTAGTCTGATCCCATCTCAAAATGAGAAATACTGTACTGTTTACTAGATTTACGATAATTTCATTGGACTAGTCACCATTTATTGCAGTGCGTTTGCCTGCACGATGCTAAAAGGCCTCTGTTAGCTACATTAGCCTCGTAGCTCCAGAGCTAAAACTAAAGAAGTGAACTTGTCTTGACTGATTGACTACATTTGGAGTGAAGGGGGGGGGTCTTTTTGCCAAACTATCGCTTTAATCCCGCTGCAGTGTAAGTGGTGTGATGCTGAGATGCTGTAAATCAGGCCGCAGATCTACAGTAATAACGTCTGAATGTTTCTTTTTGCTGAAATGAACATTTCAAAGCTAATTCTTTAAGCGGCTGGTGTTCAGCGCCGCTGCTGTCGCTGTGATTCAAACCTCAGAACCGTTTTCTGGAACTTTCTTTCATTTAGTTTCTGTTTGTCAGACATTTAAATGACGGTGCTGCTAAACTGTTTTTGTCCTTTGTTCTGAAGCTGACTCTTCCTCAGCCGGAGGCGGGCCGATGAGCTGTTGCTGTTGCCACGGTTACCGTCTCCGTGATTACAGTGCGGCTGTAGCTCATGTAATTCACTGTCATGTCCATGTAATGTAACAGTTATTAATGTTTTTGCCATATTTAAGTGATGAATACAGTCTGCTATGCAACACCAGAGCACAGAACAATCATACTGTATATATATACACTCACTGACCGCTTTATTAGGAACACCTGAACACCTGCTCGTTCGTGCAGTTGTCTAATCAGCCAGTCATGCAGCAGCAGTGCAGTGCATTAAATGATATGGGCAGCATATTTTCAGGTGATGTTCACATCAGCCGTCAGAATGTGGAAAAATGTCAGTGATTCTGACTGTGTCCACTGTTGCCCAGACAGGCTGGTCTGAGTGTTTCTGTAACTGTTGATCTCCTGAGATTTTCACACTCAGCGTCTCTAGAGTTACTCAGAATGGAGCAGTAAAGAAAAACATCCAGTGAGCAGCAGCTCCACCGATGGAAACGCATTGTTGATGAGAGAGGTCAGTGGAGAATGGACAGGCTGGTATGAGCGGACAGAAAGACTACGGTCACTCAGATGATCACTCTGTACGATTGTGGCAATCAGAAAAGCATCTCATAACGAACAACACGTCAAGCCTTGAGGTGGATGGGCTACAACAGCAGAAGAACCATGTCAGGTTCCACTTCTGTCAGCCAAGAACAAAAAGCTGAGGCTTCCTGGACAGCTGAAGATGGAAAAACGCAGCCTGGTCTGATGAATCTGGATCTGGATGGGACACGCAGATGGTGGAGTCAAAATTTGGCACCAACAGCATGAATCCATGGACCCAACCTGCCTTGTGTCAGCAGTCCAGGCTGGTGGAGGTGGTGTAATGGGGTGGGGAATGTTTTATCGGCCCGTTAACACTGATCAATCATCGTTTGAATGCCAAAGCCTGTTTGAGTGTTGTTGCTGACCATGGCCACAGTTTCCTATATTCTAATGGCTACTTTTAGCACAAAGCGAATGACGACTCACGAACCTTACAGTGTTCCTCAGTGGCCTCAAAGAAATGTTTCCGACATCCTGTGGAACCCATGCCATGAAGAATTGAGGCTGTTTCAGAGTAAAGGGTATCAGTGTAGTGTTCCTAATAAAGTGCTCGCTGAGTGTATATATGTATCTACAGACACACGTATCTGCACATATATCCACATATCAGTTTAATCAATATCAGAATCTTTCCGTTCACGTTTCAGTCCGTGTTCAGTAAGTTAGGGCCTGTTTGAAAAGTTTTACTTGTATGTGAATATGTTGAATAAATGATGTAATCTAATGCACGTCTTTCTTTAACTGTAGTCATTTTTGACCGTGTGCTCTGAACACCTACACTTAAAACAGTTCTTATAATACCGGAAAAAAGGCTCTTGGATGTGTAACAATACCAAAACACTCTAGTGGTGCTTTATGTAACCATTAAAACCAATTTATTCAAAGAACCACATACAACAGATCTTATGTTGTAGCATTCACATGGTTCTTTGAGTGTTTAAGGTTCTATATACAGCCACTGCCTTTACTGAAGAACCCTCAAAGAACCATTTGTAAGGGTGTATGTACCTAAAGGGGAACCTATTTTCCAAAATTGTCTGCATAATTAAATGTCGTTCAGAGTGGTTTGGTGTGAAACGCTCTGTTCTGGAGAAACTGACAGTCAGAACTGTTCACAGTGGTGGTGATAGGAACCAGACGTCCACCTCTAAAAGCTCCCTCACAGAAAGTTCCTACATGAAATGGTTATGAATTCACTGCCTGATGACTGAGACACTGTTTTATGATAGTTTAGAGAACTTAAACTCCATTCATGGTGGAGGGATACATGCAGGGCGCTGTGAGGCAAAATAGTCCCCAAAGAAAACTTATTATTCCAGATTTTCCACTATTTTTCATCATCAACATTCCATATAAACTCAGAAGACTCGTGTAGGTTCACTGGTGCTTCTGGATAGAAAATAAAGTGTCTATATTTGTGTTGTAGTCATCCTGGTTCTCATAAATGAAGTAATGAGTAGTGAGAGTATTTTTACAGAAATCAGTCAGTAAAGTATCCCATCACAGTGTGAGGGCAGTAATGAGTCGTTTGTAATGGAGTGAGTTCTGTTTGTGAGTCACTGCCTCAACACTGGAAACCACTGTACTGGAGTCTGATGATCTGATGTGGTATCTACATCACTAGGGGGCAGCACTGTGCTACACAAAACATACAGCAACTCCTGAAACTGGTGAGTTGGGGTTCAGTTTATCAGTGTTTATGAGATCAAACACACTCACATACACACACACATACACACACACACACTCACATACACACACACACACACACACACACACACACACACACTCACACTCACATACACACACACATACACACACACACACTCACATACACACACACACACACACACACACACTCACACTCACACACACACACATACACACACACACGCACACTCACACACACTCGCATACACACACATACACACACACATGCGCATGCACACTCACACCTACGTGCACACGCACACACACACAAACACTACTACAATACTGTAATATTAAATATTAATTATAATTTAATAATTATATAATTAATATTTAATATATAGTAATAGTAATATAGTAATATTTAATATATAGTTTAGCGTAGTGTAATACAGTACAGTGCTGCCCTCTATTGCCTTAATCAGAACTACCACTAGCCTAACCCTTAATCCTGACCTTAACCCTTAACCCTTAACCCTCACCATAAAATTTAACGATTTACGTTGTGGGGGCCACAAGGATGTAAGGTCCCCACAGCCGGAGTCTATGAACAGGTTTTGGTCCCCAAAGTGTGGCGTAAATCTGGTCCACACACACACACACACACACACACACACACACACACACACACACACAGCCTGCTTCCTGCTGTTGGTACACACAAAGGTCATGACCCCTCCTCCATGCTGTGAATTTCCTCTCTGAGGGACGAACACTTTCTTAACACAGAACAATGAGAAACACATGACAGTGTGTGTGTGTGTGTGTGTGTGTGTGAGTGTGTGTGTGTGTGTGTGTGTGAGTGTGTGTGTGTGTGTGTGTTTTACATATGTAGTAGAACAGTGTGTACCCTGTGTGTGACCTTTGACCCCTGCTGCTGTTGGGCTCACATGGAGCAGATTTTCTCACACACACACCTTTTTAATAGTTCCCTTTAAAGTACACCCTTATAAATGGTTCTTTGAGGGTTCTTCAGTAAAGGCAGTGGCTGTATGTAGAACCATGAACACGCAAAGAACCATATGAATTCTGCAATACAACATCTGTTGTGTGTGGGTCTTGGTTTTAATGGTCCTATAAATGTGCACACACACACATACACACACACACACACACACACATACAGCATACGCCCTGCTGAAAACAGACCATTAGACCCATCAGGATTTAGACCTCATGACTTTAATAATGAGAATGTTAATTTGTTAAACTAGCGCTGAAATAATGGCAGCCTGTGTCAGTTTAATCCTCCTAACTGCTGATCTAAAATGTCTTCTGTGAGGCTGTTCAGCCGCTGTAGGCCGTGATGTGATGTGCGCTAACGGGATTAGCGTTCAGATTAGCGCAGACTTTCCTCCTTAAATCTACAGACTGCAAACTGCACAGACATGTAGACCATGAAGAGCAGGACCTGTATGACCCGACTCTCCCCCCTGCGCATCTGCTTTACCTGGGTTTCAGGGGCTTTTAAACACTGTGTTAGCATAATCTGGCTAACGGCCGTGGTGAGTTTGCAGGGCTGACTGTGTGTTGTTGTTGTTGTTGTTGTGCCTTCAGTGTGAGTAATAGTTCAGCACAGACTCCCCAGTTTCCCCTCTGACCACCACGTCATGTTTGGGGTCTGACGTTAGCTTCTTTAGTTTTAGCTCTGGAGCTACGAGGCTAATGTAGCTAACTAATAATGGAAGCTTATACCCACTGATTAGCATGGTGCTAACTGCATGCCATAATCATCATTCCTGCCTCAAACTGTGTCATTTAGATGAAATGTAGATACTGGTATCCAGAAAAATGGACTAAAGTATGTTAGCATAGCTAAAACAGTCAGACTGATTTTATGTTCAGTTGCCAGATTTCCAATAGGAATTCCCAGCTTAGGAGATGTTTTCTTTGTTTATCTGTAGTAGCTTTAGTGGACGTAGCAACAATTCAGGCTTCAGGATTGATTTGCTAACATACATTAGTCCATGTTTATATATGTATATATACAAATATATACACACCGGTCAGGCATAACATTCTGACCACCTCCTTGTTTCTACACTCATTGTCCATTTTATCAGCTCCACTTACTATATAGGGTCACTTTGTAGTTCTACAGTTACAGACTGTAGTCCATCTGTTTCTCTGATACTTTGTTAGCCCCCTTTTACCCTGTTCTTCAGTGGTCAGGACCCCCATGGACCCTCACAGAGCAGGTACTATTTGGGTGGTGGATCATTCTCAGCACTGATGTGGTGGTGGTGTGTTAGTGTGTGTTGCGCTGGTGTGAGTGGATCAGACATGATGTTTCGCTAAACTATCGCTTTAAGGTTTGAAAGACTCACTGCAGAAATGTCCAAACATTTCAGTGATGATTAGAATATCGGCTTCTGTGGAGTCGGCCTGAGAGGACACAGCTGGTGGGAACGTACACAGCTGTGTGTGTGTGTGTGTGTGTGTGTGTGTGTGTGTGTGTGTGTGTGTGTGTGTGTGTGTGTGTGTGTGTGTGTGTGTGTGAGGGTATTTGCTGGCGTGTCAGTGACAGAAAGTCCAGCAGACCGAGAGCAGATGAGCTGAAGGTGAGTCTCAGCCGTTTCTCGCTTCTTCACTTCCTTTTCTGCACTGGGGTGTGCAAAAGTTTGTGCACCCCCATTCAAACGGCACATTTTGTTGAGTCTGAGTGAAAAGAATCTGCATGGAGCTCAAACACATTTCTGCAAATCCTAATGCTCAGTCATTGTTGTTTTGCTGTATTTAACATGCTGTAAAATATAAAACATCTCTCTAGTTTTGATCAGGACTTTGTGCTGCAGACGCTCAGAAATATTCAGAGGCCGTCTTTTGAGATCTAATCACAGATTTTCAGTAAAGACCAAAACCATCATCTTTCATTTGTCAGAGTAGACCGAGACTCATTTTAACGCATGTTTTGGGTCACTGTCTTGTTGTACGCTACAAAAAAATGATATCTAAACAGTGAAAACATCTTAAATCCTGTAAATATATCTAATAATTCTCATTAAGAGATCGTTGTAAGAATATTATTAGATTATTCAACATATTTCTAGATATTTTCACTTGTTTTGAGTAGTTTTATTTAGTGAAGGTGTCTTATTCCGCTGTCAGATATTTAGGGGTGTAGCTGGAGCTTTTAGGATGTTGTGGCCAGATGAGACCCATGGTGACATGATATGCTGACCTGTCTCCATCTCCATGGTGACATGATATGCTGACCTGTCTCCATCTCCATGGTGACATGATATGCTGACCTGTCTCTATGGTGACGTGTCATGCTGACCTGTCTCCATCTCCATGGTGACATGATATGCTGACCTGTCTCCATCTCCATGGTGACATGATATGCTGACCTGTCTCCATGGTGACGTGTCATGCTGACCTGTCTCCATCTCCATGGTGATGTGATATGCTGACCTGTCTCCGTGGTGACGTGTCATGCTGACCTGTCTCCATCTCCATGGTGACGTGATATGCTGACCTGTCTCCGTGGTGATGTGATATGCTGGCCTGTCTCCATGGTTCCTGACTGTTGGTTCCCATTGGTGGTATGCCAGATATGTTGCCATGGCAATATGTTTACCTGTTCCCTTGGTGATAAACTGATCTGTACCAGTGGAGATGCCTTGATCAGTTTCCATCGCAATACTCTGATTGTTGCCATGGTGATATGGCTTTTGGCTGAGTGTGAGGACAACACACACACAGACACGCCAGAGTGTTTCATCTCTCAGTTTCATCTCTCAGTGCTCACTGAGCTCTACTGACCTTCTGAATATCACTCCATCCCTGATTCACCCCACCGACACACACACACACACACAGACTGCACCCTCTTTCATGTCCTCCGTTCTCTCTCTGACTGCAGGTCTAATGTAAACGCTGAAGGACAGATGATGATGATGATGAAGATGGTCCTCTGTCCCACTCTCCCGCTCTCAGTGTGAGGTGGAAATGACCAGAGCAGCTCGGACGCTCTCTGATGTGCAGTGGAGACTCAGTAATGATATGAAGTAGCTTTTCAGCATCATTACAGCTCGTTCTCATCTATAAAGAGAGCCAGAGAAGCAGAGCTCAGCAGAGAGCAGAACAGAGAGCAGAACAGAGAGCAGAACAGAGAGCAGAACAGAGGACGCTGTGCAGAGGACGCTGTGCAGAGGGAAGGTAAACACACTGCACATCTCTGTTTACTGTTACACAGCGTCTGACTGGATAATGTGCCTGTGTGTTTCAGAGCACTGAACATGTGTATTGTGTGTGTGTGTGTGTGTGTGTGTGTGTGTGTCTGTGTGTGTGTGGCTGGTTGTTTAAAGGAGTTTGGAGAACTTCATGGAGGACCAGGTGAGTTCCTTTTTACATCTTTATTACCTCAAACAGTTGTAGTTCATTTTTACAAGATCATTTTCCAACATCTCTTTGTCTCTGAATGGGTGGGGCTAAACTGCTGTAGGCTGAATGGGCGGGGCTAAACTGCTGTAGGCTGAATGGGCGGGGCTAAACTGCTGTAGGCTGAATGGTGGGGCTAAACTGCTGTAGGCTGAATGGTGGGGCTAAACTGCTGTAGGCTGAATGGTGGGGCTAAACTGCTGTAGGCTGAATGGTGGGGCTAAACTGCTGTAGGCTGAATGGGTGGAGCTAAACTGCTGTAGCTGAATGGGTGGAGCTAAACAGCTGTAGGCTGAATGGGTGGAGCTAAACTGCTGCAGGCTGAATGGGTGGAGCTAAACTGCTGCAGGCTGAATGGGCGGGTCTAAAATGCTCTAGGCTGAATCGTTGGATATATGAAAATGTGTTCATGGTTGTGACATAATAACCAAACAAATTAGTTTCCATATATGGACAGTGTGGATCTGTAGGCCTTTTTACATGACATTGGCTCTTTAAGTCGTGCTGTTTCACTGTGGAATGAAATGGAGCAAATAAATTCCACCTCATCACAACTGTGATTATTTAAGAGAAAGTAATTGACTATTTATAACACACCCACTCCCCCCCACCCCCCCGACATTCCACTGCGGTGTGTGTGTGTGTGTGGCTGATGGAGCTGGTTGAGTCTTTGGCTGTATTTACAGTAATAACTCCTCCCGTATGTATCAGACTGGCGCGGTGACGCCGCTCCGTCAGCGCGAATCGTCTAAATATGTTTTATAAATAAAAATCAGTCGTCTGCCCCCCCAACCCCCAACCCCCACACCCCCCCCGCCGCACTGCTGCTGGACTGCCCAAAAAAGGCCTGCGGTCTGCTCTCCTGCCCTTTACTGACTCCGCTGCCTCATCCATCAGGCACATACACAGACCCGAGTGACTGCACCAACCTCCCACACCCTCCACTCACTGGCCCATTTATCAGAAACCCTCACTCCACTCACTGGCCAATTTATCAGAAACCCTCACTCCACTCACTGGCCAATTTATCAGAAACCCTCCCTCCACTCACTGGCCAATTTATCAGAAACCCTCCCTTCACTCACTGGCCACTTTATCAGAAACCCCCACCACTCACTGGCCACTTTATCAGAAACCTCCACCACTCACTGGCCACTTTATCAGAAACCCCTCCACTCACTGGCCACTTTATCAGAAACCCTCCCTCCACTCAGTGGCCAATTTATCAGAAACCCTCCCTCCACTCACTGGCCAGTTTATCAGAAACCCCCCTCCACTCATGGCCACCTTATTATAAACCCTCCTCCACTCACTGGCCATTTTATTAGAAACCCCCCTCCACTCCTGGCCACTTTATCAGAAACTCCCTCCACTCATGGACCACTCTAATAGAAACACCTACCCTGTAGGTCCAGTATTCAGGCTCCGCCCACATATGTGTTCATAGTTGCTGTTGAGAGGCTGGACAAGCTTTACAGAACACTGGTAAGACAATAGGTAGAAAATATTACAAACAAGCAGGAAACGAATGTCAGTAATCATTGTGTGTGTGTGTGTGTGTGTGTGTAGCAGGCGGGGGGGTCTGAGCGTGCTCAGTGTGAATATTCTGGATACTCTGGCATTCTGGGGGACAGTGAGGACAGCGATGAAGGTAAAGCTTCACTGAAAGTTTCAGTGTCGACTATTACGACTTAGAGAGATTACAACACTTACAGTACTGTTACTTTCCCTGTCTCTCTCTGTGTGTATGTGTCTCTCTCTCTGTCTCTCTCTCTCTCTGTGTCCCCCTCTCTCTCTCTGTGTGTCTCTCTCTTTCTCTCTCTCTCTTTCTCTCTGTCTCTCTCTCTCTCTGTGTTTCTCTCTCTCTCTCTCTCTGTCCCCCTTTCTCTCTCTGTGTCTCTCTCTTTCTCTCTCTCTCTCTGTCTCTCTCTCTCTGTGTCTCTCTCTCTCTCTGTGTTTTTCTCGCTCTCTCTCTGTCCCCCTTTTTCTCTCTGTGTGTCTCTCTCTTTCTCTCTCTCTCTCTCTCTCTGTCTCTCTCCTCTTCTCCTCTCTCTCTGCTGTTTCTCTCTCTCTGTCCCCCTTTCTCTCTCTGTGTGTCTCTCTCTTTCTCTCTCTCTCTCTCTCTGTCTCTCTCTCTCTGTGTCTCTCTCTCTCTCTCTGTCTCTCTCTGTGTTTCTCTCTCTCTCTCTCTGTCCCCCTTTCTCTCTCTGTGTGTCTCTCTCTTTCTCTCTCTGTGTCTCTCTCTCTCTCTGTCTCCCCCCCCCCTCTCCCCCCCCCTCTCTCCCTCCCTCTCTCTCTCTCTCTGTCTCTCTCAGAGCTGATAGCTGAGCCTCTGCTGGCTCCGTGTGAGGAGCCCTCTGTGTTGGGGAGACTCGGGCTGAGCAGGTGAGTTACTGCACTCGGACATCAGGAGCAAAATTTCAGTTTAAACTGAACATTAACACAGTCGTCTGTCTGAGTTCCAGCTGTGAGGAGATGACCGAGGAGGAGGTTGAGGTAAGCACTGCCTTCTTGACCACTTTATCAGAAACTCCTCCCTGCAGCTGCACCTTCCCGGCCACTTTATCAGAAACACCTCCCTGTAGCTCCACGTTCCCGGCCACTTTATCGGAAACACCTCCCTGCAGCTCCACCTTCCTGGCCACTTTATCAGAAACACCTCCCTGTAGCTCCACGTTCCCGGCCACTTTATCAGAAACACCTCCCTGTAGCTCCACGTTCCTGGCCACTTTATCAGAAACACCTCCCTGTAGCTCCACCTTGCTGGCCACTTTATCAGAAACACCTCCCTGTAGCTCCACCTTGCTGGCCACTTTATCAGAAACATCTCCCTGTAGCTCCACCTTCCCGGCCACTTTATCAGAAACATCTCCCTGTAGCTCCACCTTCCCGGCCACTTTATCAGAAACATCTCCCTGTAGCTCCACCTTCCCGGCCACTTTATCAGAAACACCTCCCTGTAGCTCCACGTTCCCGGCCACTTTATCAGAAACACCTCCCTGTAGCTCCACCTTGCTGGCCACTTTATCAGAAACACCTCCTTTGTAGCTCCACCTTGCCGGCCACTTTATCAGAAACATCTCCCTGTAGCTCCACCTTCCCGGCCACTTTATCAGAAACATCTCCCTGTAGCTCCACCTTCCCGGCCACTTTATCAGAAACACCTCCCTGTAGCTCCACCTTGCTGGCCACTTTATCAGAAACACCTCCCTGTAGCTCCACGTTCCTGGCCACTTTATCAGAAACACCACCTGTAGCTCCACCTTGCTGGTGTTCAGTGAGAAACTGTAGCTGTTCTCTCTCCAGTGTGCGTTTGGTCAGTTTGCGATGGCCTTCCACTGTGACCAGTACACACTGACCCAGAGGCTGCGGGCGGAGGAACACGATCGCACTGTAGCGCTGGAGAACCTGCAGCTGGAGCTACAGCACACCAGAGACGCACTGCAGGTCAATGGAGAACCACAACTAATTAGGCCTTCAGTTCGAGCTGCTGTTTAACATTCCTAACAACTAACCGGAACACTGAGACTACGGCTCATCTTCACAGTCAGTGACATATCTAGAACCTCCAGAAGGAATCAAGTCCTAATCCTAATCATGCTGGTTGTTAATCTAATGTGTAAGGCCTTCAGTCCAGCTCCTGAAGCCCTGACCAATGAGAAAGCAGCTCGACTGTATCTACCCAGATACCACAGAGAGAACAATCCTGATTGGATCATTTTCTGTTGGATGTTTAACCCTTTTGCTTCCAACCAAAACTTAACATTGCAATAAGAGCATCACTACAACAGTAACAGAGTTTAAATACAGTCATAATGACTATGTCAGTGTGTGTGTGTGTGTGTGTGTGTGTGTGTGTGTGTGTGTGTGTGTGTGTGTGTTAGGTGCTGTGCGTGCGGATGGTGAATGGTGAGGTGAGGGAGAAGGTGAAGCAGTTGGAGGAGAGTCTGCAGACGCTGGAGAACAGCATGGAGAACATCATCACTGCAGCAGAAACACTGGGAGCCACACATCAGGTACCAGCACTGCACTGCTGTCTCTCTCTCTCTCTCTCTCTCTCTGTTCTCTCTCTCTCTCTCTCTCTGTTCTCTCTGTCTCTCTCTTTCTCTCTCTGTTCTCTCTCTCTCTCTCTTTGTTCTCTCTCTATCTCTCTCTCTTTCTCTCTGTCTCTCTCTGTTCTCTCTCTATCTCTCTCTTTCTCTCTCTCTCTCTCTCTCTGTCTCTCTGTTCTCTCTCTCTCTCTCTCTCTCTCTCTCTCTCTCTCTCTCTGTCTCTCTCTCTCTCTCTCTCTCTCTCTCTGTCTCTCTCTGTCTCTCTCTCTCTCTGAGAGTGTTTGTGTTCAGGAGGCTCGTATGAGTCGGGCGGTGGAGCTGATGTCTCTGCATGTCGACCACCTGAAGAGGCGTCAGAGTGTGGAGAACGCGGAGCTCCTGCAGACGAGGAAGCTGCTGCAGCGAGCGCGCGGACGGCTCCTCAGTGACTCCGCCGGTCAGTGCTGCCCCCTGCTGGCCTACAGCCTAACATATCTCAGTGTGCTGTGTAACGGCGCTGTCTAAATTAAACGCTCCCCCTGCAGACGACGGAGAGCTGAAGCAGCTGGTGGGAGACCCCAGACAGGTAACCGCTCAGGGCTCATCAACATTAAAGCGATACTTCAGCAGAACCTCATTCGCACATTTTCAAAAGTAACTAAGTAAAGGAGAAATTTAGAACATTAAATTAAGAGACCCTTATTAGTCCCACAGTGGGGAAATTTCACCTCCGCATTTAACCCATCCGTGCAGTGAAACACCACATACACCACAACACACACACTAGGGGCAGTGAGCACACTTGCCCGGAGCGGTGGGCAGCCCTATCCGCAGCGCCCGGGAGCAGTGGGGGGTTTGGTGTTTTGCTCAAGGGCACTTCAGTAACGTACTGTCAGCTCAGGGGATCAAACCAGCGACCTTCCGGTGACTGCCCAATTTATTATTATTTTTTTTAGATGAAGGTTAACATGATCAAAACGGAGGATCAAATGAAAATGAAATTAGAATAATAAAGTGCAACAAAGAACCCTTTGCATGTTTAAATGGTTCTCTGCATGGTGAAATGGTTCTTTAGACTGATGAAGAATGTGTTGTAGATGGTTGAAAAGGGTTCTGCTGTTGTTACAATCTTGACTTCTTAATTAAAGTAATAATTGTCGGCACCTCCTTTGGTGCTATGTAGAACGTGTGGGTCTGATCTGTATCTGATCTGCTTTTATATCTGCAGGTCACTCGCCGCCGGGTCAGCGTGACTCTGATCCCGACACAGGCTCAGGTACACACACACACACAGATGCACACTCACACACACGCACACACACACACACACACACACACACACACACACATACGCACACACACACACACTCTTTAAACACACTACATTACACACTGCTTTATAAATACTCCGTGTGTGTGTGTGTGTGTGTGTGTGTGTGTGTGTGTGTGTTTAGCTGACAGATTTGGAGGTGAAGTTTCTGGAGAGCTGTCGGTCAGCAGAGGAACCGGACAGTCAGAATCAGGACGGGTCGGTTCTGAAATCCGCCCGGAGGTACTGAACGCATTAGAGCCGTAAAGATTCACAGAATCCGTCATTCTGTTCAGTTCGATACGCCGCTGTCTCGACTCGGTGCAGCAGAAATGAGCAGCCTTTCGTTAAGAACTGCAGTAAAACTCAGATATTTACTTCTGTAACACGTCTGTTTTCATGTATATATGATATTTAAACGTGACGTATCTTGTATAACTAACAGGAGTAGAAACTCTGAAATAGCAAATCTGAAATATTACTACAAACGATGACATCTTAGCAAATGAAAACGTCTTTAATGTAGTCAGTGCCTCTAATATTTCTCATCATTAATATTTTAGGATTATTCCACCTGTTTCTAGACTTTTTTACTTATTTTAAGTAATTTTCTGATGAAAGTGTCTTATTCCGTTCAGAAATGGTGCAGATAATTTTGCTTGTTTCAAAAAATAATGCATGAAACAATTAAAATGATCTGGCAATGAAATGAGACACTTTCACTGCATAAAAACAAGTAAGAATGTCTAGAAATAAGTTCAATATTCTTACAATAATTTTATTTTTGGATCTCGTAATGAGAAATATTAGATGTATTGACTAAATTTAAATGTTTTCACTTGCTAAGAAATCATTTTTGCAGCACACGGATCTTTTCCATTAGTGTGTGTTTCTGTGTTTGTTAGCACAGAAACACTAAACAGTACACAGCAAAAAATGGTGCAATTATCTTAAATCTAGTTGATATATGTATTTTTTCATGTTTAGGTGGCTGTAAGGTTGTTTTAAGTGATTGTACTCAGATTATCTGACTATATTGGCAGATAATTTTGCCTATTTTAAGCACATTTATTACAACAAACCATATTATGCAGTAATTTTGGAAAATGAGTGGAGATCTATTTATGTATCGCTGTCTTTCTGTAGGTGTGCTGTTCTCCCTGTAGATGGCAGTGTTGAGCGCAGCCCGTCTCACAGACGCACTGACCCCTCCATCCAGCCGGCCAACGAGGAGTCCACTGACGGCCAAGAGGAGCACACAGCCTCCGACGGCTTCCCCAGGCAATATACACACATTATTAAAGCTAATTATTAGCCTACAGAGTGAATTAATTATTGATGTTGATTATAAAAAAATAGTTTACACTCTAAAATGTTCTGTGTATGTAATGTACACTATAATATAAAGATCCACACAGCCACTCTGACAGACTGTAATACACTACAGGAAGCGTAGGGGGCGATATGGCTTCTACTGTTTCATTTAAAAAGCTCTATAATGTTCATATGATCCACACAGTCACTCTGACAGACTGTAATACACTACAGGAAGTGTAGGGGGCGATATGGCTTCTACTGTTTCATTTAAAAAGCTCTATAATGTTCATATGATCCACACAGCCACTCTGACAGACTGTAATACACTACAGGAAGTGTAGGGGGCGATATGGCTTCTATAATGTTATATATGTGTGTTAGTCCCCTGCAGGTCAGCCTCAGGTGTCGTCGCCGGACTGCGTTAAAGTCAGATCAGAGCTCAGAGGAGAGGGAGGAGTCAGTGTCGGAGTCCAGCACAGCTGAGTCACATGACCCAGCTGACATCATCCAATCAGAGCCGTGAGTCATAATTCATTTCTACCTGAGAATTTTCCATCATATTTTATGTTTCAGAGTTAAACCAGCTGTTTCGTCTCACTGTATCTGGATAGTCCACTATAGTCCACTATAGTCCACTATAGATGATCTACAGATGATCAAATTGTTCACAAACTCTCTGTTGAAGCTCAGTTGATTGGCGGGGTGAGGATTTGGACCAGGGTGAGGATTTGGACCAGGGTGAGGATTTGGACCAGGGTGAGGGCTGGGTTTAGGACATGTTTGGTTGAAATAGTGTGAAACGGTGAGCAGCTGGAAGGGGCGTTTGATGGACGTGTCAGAGGTGTTAGCCAATCAGCAGCAACGTGTTTATAAACCCACTGTATTAAAAATGCAGCACACAGTGGATTCTGATAAAGTCTCTTCAAGTGCAGCCGCTGCAGCTCAGGGTGCAAAACAGCTGAAGACGTCAGGCGATGCATGTTGAATAATTAAACACGAATTTAATCTCATTTCATCAAGAAGAACTCCAGGAATGGCCGCCTCAGCTGCTCTGTTTACAACGCTTCATAAGATCCGATAATCCTTTATTAGTCCCACAGCGCGGAGATTCACAGAGCTACAGCAGCAAAGGGCCAGCAGAACTCCAGAACAGAGAAACAGGAAGAGAATTAAAGTAATTAACCTAATTAATCAATAAACACGGGCACAGTTAGTTACTCGCTACTGTATCGTTACTAGACAACATATATAAAACTGAAGATAATAAAGGGTTAAAATATAAACTCTATAAACTCTGTTCACAGAAACACAGATTCACAGTATGAACAGCTACACAAAACACAAAATACACAAAAAAGCAAAACATAATCTGTACGGATATTTTATACGCAGCTCCGCTGGTGACCTATATAAATAAAAATTACACGTGGCCACGACTTAGTAAGGCATGGGAACAAGATAATTAAGTCGTGGCCATGACTTAGTAAGGCATGGGAATGAGATAATTAAGTCATGGCCACGGCTTAGTAGGGCATGGGAATGAGATAATTAAGTCGTGGCCATGACTTAGTAAGGCATGGGAATGAGATAATTAAGTCATGGCCACGGCTTAGTAGGGCATGGGAATGAGATAATTAAGTCGTGGCCATGACTTAGTAAGGCATGGGAATGAGATAATTAAGTCATGGCCACGGCTTAGAAAGGCATGGGAATAAGATAATTAAGTCATGGCCACGGCTTAGTCAGGCATGGGAATGAGATAATTAAGTCGTGGCCACTACTTAGTAAGGCGTGGTAACGCATTATTTTTATTTATATGTGACGTCACAGCAGAGCGTTTGTTTTCAACACACCGACATTTAAATGAACGTTTTGCTGCGTTTTGTCGGGACTGAACAGCATCTAATCAGCTGCATTACAGCCTTTAAAGCGACAGATCCCCTCCAGACTCAGTCGGTCGGTCGGTCGGTCGGTCAGTCAGTCAGTCGGTCGGTCGGTCAGTCAGGACGTGTTTGGTGTCTCATGTTTCCTTCTTTAGCTTTAGCACTGGAGCTACGAGGCTAATGTAGCTAACAAGCAATGGAAGCTTATGCCCTAATATTAGCATGTTGCTAACTGCATGCCTACATTGTCTCACACTAGCCTTAACTGTGTTAGCGCAGTTGACTTCCTGTTTGCCAGCTACTTATCAGCCTCTGCTGCACCATTTAAGGTGGAACAGAAAATCCGGTGGTGAATATGAAGCTAAATGTAGCTTCAGGCCTCAAACAGCTGAACAAATACAGGCTGCTACATCGCTCTTAGCTATGCTAACACACTTTTATTCCTTATTATATTATTATTATTATTTTTATTATTATTATTATTATTGTTGTTGTTGTTGTTGTTATTATAATCAGAGCTTCTTTAAATACAGTATGAGATCAGTACTTTTTGAATGCCACTGTTTTTTGTTTTCCTTTTAAAGGATTGGACATGCAGTGCAGCGCCCCCTGCTGTACTGGCTGTCCCGCAGCAGGAGAACGCTGATGGTTCTGCTGGTGCTGTGTGGAACCGCTATCATTCTGCTCATCCTGCTGTTCTATCTCAGAGCTCCACTCCACAGAACATGACTGTGTTTGAGTGTAGATGCTGAATAATGAAAATAATTGAGTTATACTGTAATTTAATGTTTAAGGGAAACAGTTTAAGGGGATCTGTTATGTTCTATTAAAGAATATATGTGGACAAATATTTCTCTGTTATTTTTATGCATATTTAATATCAGTGACAGGTTCAGGATTTTTTTAAAGGTTTAAATAAAATTCCTTCATTCATTTGTATTTGTTTATTTGTATGTATATGTTTTAATGTATATATACTACATATATTTTTAATCAAAGGCACCAAATGTGGGTGTAAACTATGGCAGCTTCATTTGCCATCAGTCCTAAAATGAACTGTAATTTGGTCTTTGAGTGAATGAAACGGTGAGTGATGAGTGGTGTCTCCACACGGGGGCGGTAGAGAGTTCAGTTTCAGTAAAGACTCTAAACAGCAGATCATTTAAACAGCTGAAGCTCCACGGTGTGAAATGCGGCTCCTGTGGTCATTTACTCTGAGAGGTCAGACACCATTAAACACACAGGGCAGGCCGTTTTGGCCCGTTCTGATCATTTTAAATCGTTTTAAAGCGACAAAGCGAGATCAGCTCTGGCCGGTAAGGGTGCAGACCTGAACACTCACCAGCAGGGGGCACCACAGCCGCCCTGTTCAGAGAAAACGGGGGAAAAACTTCAAAACAAGCGTTTAAAATATTTTAGTAAGAAGATTCAGAGCTGATGGAGGAAGAAACCGCCATCAGGAGAACCCTTAGAAGATCTGATGGCTGTGGAGTGACGGAGGAAGGAGACTCGAGGATGAGGAGCAGAGGCAGCGCCGAGTCCGATCAGTGTGGTCTAAGTACACGTCTGAACACTTGGTCTCAGAATTACCATTAAAGGGGTAATTAAGAGAACCTGAAGTTCTGTTTTCGTAAGAATGAAGGTCAGAAAAACACACTTAAGAAGATTTTCCTTCTCGCAGGAGTCAACATCAAACTAACTCCAACGAAGTACAGATAGAAAACGAGAAACTATATATAAACTTAATGTGAACATCATACAGGATATAGAATATATAATATGAACATCATATAGACATACAAACAAACTGCAAGTGTAACGATGTGCAGTAGACAATCAAGAGGTACTAAATATATATATATATATATGTATGTGTGTCTGTGTGTGTGTGAGTGTGTGTGTGTGTGTGTGTGTGTGAGTGTGTGTGTCTGTGTGAGTGTGTGTGTGTTTGTGTGAGTGTGTGTGTCTGTGTGTGTGTGTGTGTGTGTGTGTGAGTGTGTGTGTGTCTGTGTGTGAGTGTGTGTGTGAGTGTGTGTGTGTGTGTGTGAGTTAATGTAAGTTAATGTAAAGAGATTTGATCTCAGGTGATTTTCGAGCGTTTCTATTGGTCCGTTCATTGTGAAATGCCTCACAATGTAAAGGAGCTGCTGATTTTCTCCAATGATGAAAATGGAGATCCTTGTGTTTGGACAGCAATGAGACATACATACAGATGTATATGTATATACTATATGTATAGCTAAGAGAACTGAGCAGCAAACGTAAATGTAAATATAAACATGTATTAAATCTGTACCTGAGTACAGTGGAGGAGCAGAGGGCGACTCTCATTCAGAGGACACAGTGCATACAGTGGCCGTGTGGGTTACAGTGTGTGTAATTAAAAATAATGAATGTGACTTTGTCGGCCGTTTGAGTCCAACTTACAAGTGTGAAAACCGATATTTCACCATTTCTGACATGCAGCACAAACTCAGCTCAGCTATGAGAAGCGCTGGACTGCACTCTGTAACAGCTTCAACCTTTGGAATGCCGTGTGCCGGATTTATAAAGCCAACAAGTTTGTTCTTTAACTTCCATTTCCAGTTTAACCCTCTGGTCTCTGAGTGACTCAGCTGGATTTCTGAGCTGGATCATCAGAGATGCAGGCTGAGTTTGAGAGGGTTAAACTTCCTTGTTGTTGGATTTTTGCTCCAGCACTCAGCTCCACCTGACCTGCTGATCCAGGTGTTGTCACTCTCAGGGTGACGTTACATAAACACCTCACACTCTCCTTCACCTGCTCTCTCACTCTCAGCAGAATGTGACGTTACATAAAGCTGAACTCGTCCCTCTGCGGCGCTCTCACCATCAGAGTGAGCTTACATAAACACTCTAATCCCGCCGCGTGTTCGTCTGTGCAGGGGCAGCGCAGCGCTGCGGGATTAGCGCTTTAAAGAGCCCGTCACCCCCAAAAACACGCCTTACTGACTTTTTAAAGAGAGAGTTTGATGTAGTATATAAGATCAGTCCTCATTCTCCAAACATACTTAAGAAGAATTTTCTTTTTACGCAGTTTTGACGAAGATTCTGACTCACCGATGTTCTCCTCTGTGGGGTTTGTTCTTAGGTAAGAACAGAATCTACACACTCAAGAGCACGGAGGGGAGAACAGTTCTGCGCTTTAAGAACACGTCATGAACCTGACAGAGACCTTTTCTAGGATCTTTCTGAAGAACACACTTAAGAACAGACTAAGAACGAACTTAGGAAGACGTTGGAAAACGAGGTCCAATGATTCTGAACACGCCGTTCGCTCTCCTGTACATACAGACCATCCAGGCAAACCAAACTCAAAAACAGCCTGTTTTGAATTCACTGTTTTGTGATGTCAAAAAACATACATACATCCAGCTATTCAACCTACAGCAGTTTAGCCCCGCCCATTCAGCCTACAGCATCTTAGCCCCCCACATTCAGCCTACAGCATCTTAGCCCCCCACATTCAGCCTACAGCATCTTAGCCCCCCACCTTCAGCCTACAGCAGTTTAGCCCCCCCACCTTCAGCCTACAGCATCTTAGCCCCCCACCTTCAGCCTACAGCATCTTAGCCCCCCACCTTCAGCCTACAGCATCTTAGCCCCCCACCTTCAGCCTACAGCATCTTAGCCCCCCACATTCAGCCTACAGCATCTTAGCCCCCCACCTTCAGCCTACAGCAGTTTAGCCCCCCACCTTCAGCCTACAGCATCTTAGCCCCCCACCTTCAGCCTACAGCAGTTTAGCCCCCACCTTCAGCCTACAGCAGTTTAGCCCCCCACCTTCAGCCTACAGCATCTTAGCCCCCCACCTTCAGCCTACAGCATCTTAGCCCCCCACCTTCAGCCTACAGCAGTTTAGCCCCCCACCTTCAGCCTACAGCATCTTAGCCCCCCACCTTCAGCCTACAGCATCTTAGCCCCCCACCTTCAGCCTACAGCATCCTAGCCCCCCACCTTCAGCCTACAGCAGTTTAGCCCCCCACCCTCAGCCTACAGCATCTTAGCCCCCCACCTTCAGCCTACAGCATCTTAGCCCCCCCACCTTCAGCCTACAGCATCTTAGCCCCCCACATTCAGCCTACAGCATCTTAGCCCCCCACCTTCAGCCTACAGCAGTTTAGCCCCCCACCTTCAGCCTACAGCATCTTAGCCCCCCACCTTCAGCCTACAGCAGTTTAGCCCCCCACCTTCATCCTACAGCATCTTAGCCCCCCACCTTCAGCCTACAGCATCTTAGCCCCCCACCTTCAGCCTACAGCATCCTAGCCCCCCACCTTCAGCCTACAGCAGTTAGCCCCCCACCCTCAGCCTACAGCATCTTAGCCCCCCACCTTCAGCCTACAGCATCCTAGCCCCCCACCTTCAGCCTACAGCAGTTTAGCCCCCCACCTTCAGCCTACAGCATCTTAGCCCCCCACCTTCAGCCTACAGCAGTTTAGCCCCCCACCTTCAGCCTACAGCATCTTAGCCCCCCACCTTCAGCCTACAGCAGTTTAGCCCCCCACCTTCAGCCTACAGCAGTTTAGCCCCCCACCTTCAGTCTACAGCATCTTAGCCCCCCACCTTCAGCCTACAGCATCTTAGCCCCCCACCTTCAGCCTACAGCATCTTAGCCCCCCCACCTTCAGCCTACAGCAGTTTAGCCCCCCACCTTCAGCCTACAGCATCTTAGCCCCCCACCTTCAGCCTACAGCATCTTAGCCCCCCACCTTCAGCCTACAGCAGTTTTAGCCCCCCCACCTTCAGCCTACAGCAGTTTAGCCCCCCACCTTCAGCCTACAGCATCTTAGCCCCCCACCTTCAGCCTACAGCAGTTTAGCCCCCCACCTTCAGCCTACAGCAGTTTAGCCCCCCACCTTCAGCCTACAGCAGTTTAGCCCCCCACCTTCAGCCTACAGCATCTTAGCCCCCCACCTTCAGCCTACAGCAGTTTAGCCCCCCACCTTCAGCCTACAGCATCTTAGCCCCCACCTTCAGCCTACAGCATCTTAGCCCCCCACCTTCAGCCTACAGCAGTTTAGCCCCCCACCTTCAGCCTACAGCAGTTTAGCCCCCCACCTTCAGCCTACAGCATCTTAGCCCCCCACCTTCAGCCTACAGCATCTTAGCCCCCCACCTTCAGCCTACAGCAGTTTAGCCCCCCACCTTCAGCCTACAGCAGTTTAGCCCCCCACCTTCAGCCTACAGCATCTTAGCCCCCCACCTTCAGCCTACAGCATCTTAGCCCCCCCACCTTCAGCCTACAGCAGTTTAGCCCCCCACCTTCAGCCTACAGCATCTTAGCCCCCCACCTTCAGCCTACAGCATCTTAGCCCCCCACCTTCAGCCTACAGCATCTTAGCCCCCCACCTTCAGCCTACAGCATCTTAGCCCCCCACCTTCAGCCTACAGCATCTTAGCCCCCCACCTTCAGCCTACAGCATCTTAGCCCCCCACCTTCAGCCTACAGCAGTTTAGCCCCCACCTTCAGCCTACAGCATCTTAGCCCCCCACCTTCAGCCTACAGCAGTTTAGCCCCCCACCTTCAGCCTACAGCAGTTTAGCCCCCCACCTTCAGCCTACAGCATCTTAGCCCCCCACCTTCAGCCTACAGCATCTTAGCCCCCCCACCTTCAGCCTACAGCAGTTTAGCCCCCCACCTTCAGCCTACAGCATCTTAGCCCCCCACCTTCAGCCTACAGCATCTTAGCCCCCCACCTTCAGCCTACAGCATCTTAGCCCCCCACCTTCAGCCTACAGCATCTTAGCCCCCCACCTTCAGTCTACACAGGGCTGATATGAAGTGGACAAAAGACCATATTATGATTAAAATGAAACATATTGCCATTTACCAAGCAATACACTGAGTGGCCACTTTATCAGAAACACACCAGTATCCCTGCAGGTTTACAGTTACAGACTGTAGCTCATCTGTTACTGTACAGTTTATCAGCTCCTCTGTAACATTCATCAGTGAAGAGAGAGACCCCCACAGGACCCCCACAGGACCACCACAGGACCCCCCAGGACCCCCACAGGACCAGCACAGGACCCCCACAGGACCCCCACAGGTGAGCAGGTAGTGTTTGGGTGGTGGTCCATTCCCAGCACTGCAGTGATACTGACAGTGTAGCGTGTGTTGCTGGTACGAGTGGATCAGACGACAGAGGAGTTTCTGATGAAGCTGCTAGTGAGGTGTTAGAGCAGGTAGACTCACCTGCGCAGGTAGATTACAGCACTGTAATGTTTTCAGCGTCACAGCAGCATCAGGAGCCAAACAGCCCAGCAGGCAGCGTTAATCCAGAGATAAGACACACACTGGCGTCCAAAACTGACCACGGCCAGCTGAGATTAGGACAATGACACCATCAGCAGCAGGCACACACACACACACACACACACACACACACACACACACAACACACACACACACACACACACACACACACAAGCACACACACACACACACACACACGTGCGCACGTGTATTCTATCTATTCTATTCTACTCTGAATAACATCACTGTGATGTATGGCCCATATTTGTCGAGTATGTTTGCTCACTTTCTTGACGGGTGCTGACACTTCTGGCGTCGACTGTATATAAACACTCAGACAGGGCAGGCAGGTGCAACTGTGCTGACTCAGGTGAGTCTGTATAGGATGAGCTCAGATCAACACCTGCCCCCGCATGTGCCCTCTGGATGTGACATCATCGTTACATGATCATATACAGATGTGAGGTGTTCGGCTCTCGGGGATCCGGTTTCTCTTCAGTTTATGTTCCCTTTATCCTCACAGGCTGATAATTCACCACTGATTCACACAGAGAGAGGATCAGGGTGAATCTGAGCGGATCACTCGTTAAGCTCATCATCAGCTGCATATTCCTGCAGGACAGCAAGGCTGCTCGGTTTACACTCTGAAGATCAAAGCCCTGTCCCATCTCTTATTGTCACCCTAACCGCTTGTTACTGAGTTACAGGGTAGTGGTTGAAATCTTCCCTCTGAAATGGGACCCTCATATAAAAAGAGCATCACTTCATTAACAGCTACCAGCGCTGCTCTGTAGGCGACCCTGCCAGTCTGCAGTGACAGCAGAGGAGGGTAAAGTTCAGCTCCTCACTGCTGGGCTTTAGTTACATTTAGGGCATCATATGATCTTCAAAGAGGGGGGCAATTATTTATTATCACCCACCACTAATTCTTCAGTGATATGAAACTGAAGTCGGATATTCACCAGATTCTCGTTCGGATTTTCCCGTTCCACCTTAAATGGAGCAGCCGTTCTGACGCCTGAGGCTCCACAATGGAACTGCTGCACCATTTAAGGTGGAACGGGAAATTTAGCTACAGAGACGTCAGCAGCGTTAGGGATTTTTAATGCTTGTTATGAAGAAAAGGACCAAAATACACTGAATCAACATTAAACTAAGAGAATATGATGGTTATTGTGATTTTTAACATTGAAAATTCTCACGTTTGTGGGTTTCTTGGGTCTCTTGTTCTCCGTCTCGCCCGTTTTTCTTTTTTCTCATATCTCTCTGTTTGGAGTCTCTGAAAAACCTCCGTTTGGAGGGTCATGTAGCCCCAACACTTCACCCTCCCCCTCTATCTCAACAATCGGGACACCCTACCCTAGACGAGAACACGCCAAACAGAGGGGTAGGACTGAGTGGGGGGGGGCGAGGGGTGAAATGGGGCTGGGCTTTGAGCTCCTCACCAGCTCAGATCCACAGGCCTCAAATCACTAAACTAAAGCAGTAAAACGTATTTATTCACTCCATCTTATAAGTTCTGGCCTTTTTTGTTTACCTGTTCATTCTCGCTCTGCAGTATGTAAATAAAGTTACTATAATAATACAACAGAGTTCTGAACCACATTATTATTATTATTATTATTATTATTATTATTATTAATGTTTCATCATGAAAGTCAACAGTGTGAGTGTTTTGGTTTAAATAATCATTATTACCCAATAGCCAATACCAGTGCAAGAGGGCGTGGCTCATGGCATTAGCGCCGCCCCCTCAGGTTCAGCCTCGCGCAGCTGAAGGCTGAAGACTCAGCGCGTGCAGCAGGAGGAAGCGCGGAGAGGAGTCCGGCCTTCAGGTAAAATAAACGAACAGAAAACAGATTTAAACTGTTTAAAGTGATAATATGAGTCAGCGTGTTGTTTACATCGTGTTGTTTAGTAAACATCGTGTTGTTTAGTAAACATCGTGTTGTTTAGCTGCTGAATAACATCAGGTTAGTGCTGAGATGATTTTTCAGAGTAAATAATTTGAATAGTCAAGTCATAAATGCAGTCATATCCTCTGGATTTAGTCTGGAGTAGTGAGTGATTAAGTTTAGGTATAAGATGTTTATAAGTTATTAATGTGAATAAAACAGAAATTAGGCTCGAGTTTCAGTCATAGGGCTTTATTTTGCTGTGAGAGCTGAAAACCCTTTTACACGAAGTTATATGAGGATGTATTTGTATTAAGTGTATATTAATGTTATATTAAGTTATATATGTGTTTATGTATTGTTCTGCAGTTGGTCTGATTTGGATGTTTTCTCTGCTGAGCTGTATTAATAACCTTATCAGTGACATTAATATCAGGTTAAGTGTCTGTTTATAGTTATAATCTGCATTAGTCTCAGGGTTAAGGGCTATATTAGGAACACAGGGAGGGATCAGAGATGAGCTGTAATCTCTGTGCTGTAACTGCACACATGCCTCACAGCCTGACAGGACCACTCCACTCATATTCTAAAATTCCCACATAACTCAGTGTGTGAGGTGTAAACAGAGAGATTCAGAGTGGTTTGGTGTGAAATGGTTCAGATGTCTTTACAGTGGTGGTGATAGGAACCAGGGGTCGCCATGACTACAACACAGATATAGACATTTTATTTACTATCCAGAACCACCAGTGAACCTACACGAGTCTTCTGAGTTTATATGAATGTTGATGATGGAAAATAGTGGAAAATCTGAAATAATAAGTTTTCTTTGGGGACTATTTTGCCTCACAGCGCCCTGCATGTATCCCTCCACCATGAATGGAGTTTAAGTTCTCTAAACTATCATAAAACAGTGTCTCAGTCATCAGGCAGTGAATTCATAACCATTTCATGTAGGAACTTTCTGTGAGGGAGCTTTTAGAGGTGGACGTCTGGTTCCTGTCACCACCACCACTGTGTGTGTATGACTCCATTTAACTCCATGTTTATCGTTATCGTGATAAATTACATCACAGTGTGTCACAATATGCTTTTCTGAGCGTATCGTAAATATTGTCAGTGCTTTACATTTAAGAACTACATGTTTAATTACAAAGAGAGCATAATTAGTCCTGTTTAATTGGATTTAGTGCAGCACAGTGTGTGAAATGTTCATGAAAAAATGATTTAAATTCATAGTTTTTGATATTGTTCTTTAAAAAGTGGACTGCTAACCTATCAGATGCCAGAAAAAATAAATATTGTGTATCTTTAGCCACCAGTTACAGTGAAGAAAATCATGCTAATGACTGGCAGCCGCATATTAATCAACAACTACTTTCTGCAGCTGCCCTCGGTTGATTTTTGGCAATAATAGCATATATGATTCAGCTGTTTCTTTAAAGCAGCAGCCTCAGTGCTATTAACACTGATCCCTTACTGCTCAAATAGTGTTTAAACAGGAATTGAAACAGGTTTATATCATTAAAGCGATTAAAGGGGCTGCGTGATGTTTATTTATCATTATTGAGATATTGGCGTTTGCAGTATTGATATTGTAGAGTGCAGTGATATGCTAATGAACCCTCTAATTAATCACAGTGCTGTTTACTGTGTGCTGTGATTGTCCTGACCAATCACAGCTCCAGAAGAGTTTCTGCAGGTGTTGTGATGAATCATCACACTGGTACTTTGATAAAAGGAAATCATCGTGGTTACAGTGTGTAATCGTGGTGTTCTGTGTGTATCATGCAGCCCTGCTGAGCTGCAGCACCACTAATGCTGTTGTTTTTCAATCACAGGGAGTCAGTTGTGAATATTGAGCCGCGATGGGTCGGAAAGAAATCAACTGCAGCTGGAAAAAAGTCACCAGCAACATCAAGGACGTGTTTGACTTTAAGGAAGTGCTCGGATCGTAAGTACAAGTTCAGCACCTTCACAGTCCAAAGACCTCCAGACTAATCCCAGAGCGCCGTGCTGGGCTCACCTGGCCGCTCTCAGGTGTTTCACCCGGATAGAACTGTTATACAACACGTCTAGAGTCAAATCCAACGAGTGCAGTCGCGCTCACGCTCACGCTGTGGGGAACGTACCTGTCTAAATTAGCACACCTGTCCGATCAGCCTGCGCTCTGTGTGGACGTGTCGCAGGTTATGATGCGAGTTTTGCCTTTGAGTCATAAATCACTGAATCTGAATCTGCTCTCTTTCTGGGTTCCTCTAAGCGTTACTGGAATCCGTTGAGTGGATTTTCACGAGACCTACTTTACCTGTTCCCAAAGAGGAGTTCATTTTAATCTGGGATCGTCTCGGGTTTGGACAGATTAGGGGATTAAGGGGGGAGAGGCCAAGCTCCATTTTTATCAATGAAGCCACTTCAGCCTCTGCTGACACCTGGTCTTCTATTACAGCTTCTCTGACGACACTAAAGCCGTTCCTGTTTCTCCCTCTAATACGGTCTCTATTACAGTCTCTGCTGCAGTCACTACTGAGTCTCTGTTGCTTTTATTGCCGCTTCTATTGCAACTTCTAGTGCAGCTTCAACTGTGGCCTCTGTCGCAGCTTCTGTTGCAGGTTTTGATGGATTATTGGATTAAGACTCCAAACTTCATTTTAATTAATGAAGCCACTGCAGCTTCTGTTTAAACCTGTCATGGCTTCTTTTGCAGCCTCTGGGTTGCAACCTGTCGCAGCCTCTATCGCAGCTTTCTAACATGGTCTCTATTGCAGCATCTATCACAGCTTCTGTTGTGTCCTTTATTGTGACTTTTGCTGCAGTAACTGTTGCGACCTCTATTTCTACCTCTGTTGCAACACCTACTGCTGCATCTATTGCAGTCTCTACCTGCATGTACAGGTTATTGGATTAGGAATCCAGGCTCCATTTTTATCAATGAAGCCACAGCGACCTTTAACGCAACCTCTACTGAAACCTGTCTATTCTTTGGCCTTTACTGCAGCTTCTGTTGCATTTTTTTGCAATCTCTATTGCGTCTTCCATTGTAGGCTCTGTTGCAGCCTCTGTTAAGGCCTCTATTGTTGCTCTTATTGCAGTTTATATTGCGACTTTGATTGCATTGTCTATTGTAGCATCTGCAGCAGCCTCTATTGCTGTCTTCGTTATACTCTCTTTCTATTGTAGCCTCTATTGAAACCTTTATTACAGCCTTGTCTTCTGTTGCAGCCTCTATTGCGGCTTCTGTTGCAGTCTTCACTGGCATGTACGGATTATTGGATTAAGAGAGGCCGAGCTCCATTTTTATCAATGAAGCCACTTCAACCTCTAATGCAACCTCTGTCTCGACACCATTTTCTATTGCAGCCTCTATTGCAGCTTCTGTTGGAAGCTCAGCTTCTGTTACAGCCTCTGTTGAGTCCTCTAATGTTTGAGTCTCTGTTAAAACCCTTTATTTTAGATTCTTTTGCAGCTTCTTCCTGTTTATTGCAGCTCCTACTGATGTATCTGTGTGCAGTGGCCTGGACTGTGTTGTTAAAATGAACACTGCAGCATAACAGCTTCTATTGCAGTCTTTGTTGCAGTTGAACATTACAGCATCCAACTCTGGATGTTGGAGTTCTGACTGTGTAAAAAACGAGGAGAAAACATCTGCTAATATCAAAATGGCCACAACTGAGACTCGCTGCAGCCCTGAGTTTGGGAAAGTATCCCTTAAACAGAGGCGACTTGAAGCCCCTTCAGTAGAATTGTAAATCTCTGACGTCACATTCAGTTTAATTTCTTCAAGAAATAATTTAGCACATCAGAAAATGTCACACAATTCATTTCAGTTGATTTAGTGCAATTCAGAATGATCTTTAAAAAACACAAAACACCATTTCTGAAACGTTTGGGACTGTAGGTAAAAAATATACAAGTGAAAACTGAAAGCTGTGATTTATAAATCTATTTTGTCCTGTATTTGAACAAAACCAGTACAGAGACAAGATATGTGATATTTTAATGCGTCAACTTCATTGTTTGTAAATATACACTCGTTCTGAAATTGATACCTGCAACGTGTTCCAAAAATGTTGGGACAGGAGCATTATGAAATGTTCAAAAGCCATCTTAAACATATGATGCAGTTATTCTTGCATATAAAAGGAGCATCCAGGAAAGGCAGAGTCCTTTATACAGACGACGGGTCGAGACTCACCACTTTACCAAACAGGCATCAGCAAAACTACCAACATTCCTCACTGAACAAATGTGAAGATTTTCACCCTCCACAATGCGTATCATCAAAAGACTCAGGGAATCCAGAGAATCTCTGTGTAAAATGGAAAACCACAAATGAAACTCTGTGACCTTCGACCTTTGATCTGATGGCACTGCAATAAAACCAGGCCTATTTCTGTGATGATATCACCACATGGGCTTTGGAATACTTCGTCTGTCGCTGCATCCACAAACGCAGGTTAAGACTGAACTCTGCACAGTGGAAGTCACATATCAACAGTGTTCAGAAACGCCGCCGACTTCTCTGGGCTTGAACTCATCTGAAATGGACTGATGTTCAGTGGAAACATGTGCTGTGGTCTGATGCGTCAACCTGTCCGATTATTTATGAAAATAATGGACGTCGTGTTCTCTGGACCAAAGAAGAGAAGGACCATCCAGATTGTTACCAGCATAAAGTTCTAAACCCAGCGACTGTCATGGTGTTGGGGGGGTATTAGTGGGTAACCTGCACATCTGTGAAAGCTCCATTAACACTGAACACAGTTTGGAGAAACATATGCTGCCTTTTAGACGCCGTCTTTTTCAGGGACGTCCATTACTATTTCAACATACGACCAGCATAACACCTAGAAACGTTCTGCACGTGTTACAGCAGCATGGCTGAGTAATCAGAGAGTGGAGGTTCTAGACTGACCTGCCTGCAGTCCAGAACTGTTTCACACTGAAAAACGTCAGGAAGCATAAAATATGACAACTAAGGCCCTAAACGGTTAAACAGCTGAGGACTTGTGTAACAGAAGAACGGCAAAATATTTCCTCTTTCTAAACTGGATCATTTTGAATCTTCAGTCCTCAAAAGATTATTCAATCAATCAATCAATCAATCAACCTTTATTTCACCTCGGAGAACATTGAGGGTGACCCTCATTTACAATTTTGCAGAGTTGATACAGAAAAAAAGGGATTGATAATGTGTAAGAACATATCAAATAATAAAAGTAAATTTAATAATAAAAATAAATCAGGTAAGTTTAAAAAAAGAAACATTAATAATAAAAAATACATTTAAAACAGAAGAAAATATAAAACAATAATAAAGTGTAACTAAAATGTAAAAGTTAATAAAATCAGAAGATGAATTAAACCAATGGAGAATAAGATCAAAAATAATAATAATAAAATAATCATGATTAAATCAAGAATAGGAATGTGAATAACAAATAAACAAATTAATAAATGGGAAAAAATAAAACAACAAAGAATGAAAATAAGACAATAATAGTGAAAATCAAGATTATTAAGTGCCGCAAAAGGAAGTTTGACACTCACAGTGTAAACAAGATCCTGTAACACTGTTTTTGTTGCAGACATCAATTTTGTAATGAGTGTATATTTACAAAAAACAATGAAGTTTGTAATGTAAAAACATCAAATACTGTATTTTTGTACCATTTTCAATTTGATGCAGATCAAAGAGAATTTACTAATCACTGCTTTAGCATTTCACACACCGTCCCAGCTTTGAATGGGGGCTGTATACTGAATGCACAGATCTGATTGGTTTACTCTGTTGCAGGTAGTCGAGTAGGACTGAACAGTTAATAAATGAATCGTGTTATAGTGAAATCGCAGTTTAAAGGGGGGAGTTTTTAAATAGCAATATCTGCAGTTTTATTTATGTCCTACATTATTTAACATTGTCTTAATAAGTTTTAATAGGATTATTGTGACCTGTTAACACGGAGCTCGTGAGCTGGCAGTCAGGCACGCTGCGCTCAGCATTCAGTCCTCTAGTGCTGATCTCCTCGGTAAAAAAGCCCCACAGCATTTTTCATTTATAGAAAATAGTTTCATTAAATAGTAAACAGTGACACGTTTTCCCTGAATGGTTCAGCCCTGTTGTGGAGTCCTGTTTAACCCCCATAAATACCGAGAGCCCCCAGCAGGCCCAGCGTTTTATTACACACTCCTCAGCCAGTTTGCACTGAAGCTCCCTGTAGTTACTGAATAATAAGTGTGTAATAAGCCTGGGATTTTAAAGGGTTAACGTGTTCATTGAGGTGTTTGGAGGGCGTCGGAGGGGATTTCTGTATGCGTGCAGGATCTGTATATCCTCCCACCGTCTGAATGAATGTGGAGCAGTCCGAGCGCTCTGACGTCACACCGCCCGGCCAGAACATCCTAGCACTGCTTCATTAAAGGATTAGCCCGTGTGTGTGATAGAGTGGACATACATGCGGCTTTCAGCACATCGACATGTGTGTCTGTGTACAGGAGTGTGTTTGTGTACATCATTATGTTGTAAACAGAGGAGATGAAGAGATCAAAGAAAATGTAATGATCAGCCGAGACGTTTACAAGGTTTAGCTCTGCAGCTATGAGGCTAACGAAGCTAACAAGTAATGGGAGATTATACCCGGCTAATTAGCATGGTGCTAACTGTGAGCCTAGATCACCGTTCGTTTGTCTAATTAGTTCAAGTTCATTAGGCTTTATTGTGATTCCAGCTCTATACAAGTACACAGTGACTCGACACAACATCCCTCCAACACAGCAACACAAGAGCAGGACAGTAAACACAGTGCAGACAGTACAGTACAGTAAATACATACGGAAGACTTACAGTAAATACAGAACAGGACACAGGCAGCACACGGTACTGAGAGTGTGTGGAGCTGTGCAGAGGAGGACGGAACACACTATGGCATATCAGCAGCTGAGCAGATGGTCTTGATTATGTGGTTTCTGACTCACTGATATCATAAACATGGACTGAAGTTCGGACATAGTTCAGGTTTCAGGATCACTGCTACTGTTTTAAGGTGTGCAGCACATATTTGCCCGTTTTCACTCACAAAATTCCAAAAAAAGAGTAGAAGTACAGTTATAGCAGCTCGGCTACTTACTCAGGAACGTATAGACAGATGTGGCAGTAACTAGTGCCGTTTCCTCGAGTACATCTACTTCAGTAAAACTCCACTCAGTGTTTTCAAATCATATCACTTTCACTTCTACTCGTGTTTGTTGGCGAATAAAGAAATCTACTTTTACATTTTAGTGATGTTTTTATTTGACATTTTTATTCATATTCAGTTATTTATCATTAGTTTTTGTTTGTGTTTACATACATTCTGTTGTGCTGGTGGTGAAATCTGTACGGCTTTGTGACGGTACTCATCTCTGATTTTGGAGCTTTAGCATTTTATTTTAGATAAAATAATCAAAAAAGAGAGAAATGAGCCACAGTTCCTGTGCTGATGGATGGCGGACGTACTAAGAAGTTCCACTGCAGTTCTATAAGTTACTCAGTACTGAAGTCGTTTTTTGACCTGATACTTTTGTGCTTCTACTCTAGTGTTCTGGGAAAGTACTTCTACTTCACTGCGGGTTTAGACCACTTCGCCTACCTCTGCTTATAGAACAGCATCTAAATCTCAGGAACTGAGAAGCTGAAACTGCTTCTTATTCAGAGTTTTCCACCTTAATTGGTGCAGCTGTTATGCTACACTTCGAGAGTTACAGCGGCACCATTTAAGGTGGAACAGAAAATTAAATAGGAAGCTGACGATTAGGAGCCGCATGAACTCTGGAAATTCCCTCTCCCCACATTTTCCCCACTTCAGCCGCGTAGCTCCAGCGCTGAAGATTAAGAAGCCAAGTACATTTTGGGTGAAATGTAAATTTTATTATTTACTGAAGTGTCACTTTAATGTATTAGATTAAGCTGAGTCCGTCTGAGACTGACAGGTGTTTAGACAGATCAGGTGGGACACCTGCCTGGTGTTTGGGTGTCTGAGAGTCCGGGTGACTGAGGCTGTGTGTGTGTGTGTGTGTGTGTGTGTGTGTGTGTGTGTGTGTGTGTGTGTGTGTGTGTGTGTGTCAGTGCTGTACATCTCTGACGTCATGTTGACTCGTTGTTTACAAAACGACTCTGTACCTTAATGACACACCCAAAGTAAAGGGGGCGCTGTTCCCACCGACTCTGGCCTACAGTCATGATCTTGGTCTCATTTGAAAGGAAACACAGTATAACTGTCTGAGTTTCTGACTCAGAGTAACAGAGTCGAGAATGGAGGAGTTTATTTCCCCCTGACTCACAGATCTGAACTGATCTCGGACTTAATTTGAGATAACTTGATTCAGTTCTGATTAGTTCAGTTATGTTGGTATAATTCAGTATTAATATTAAAATACCCTAAATGAACAAATGTAACCAGAGGAACTGTTTTACACAGCGGAAATAAATAAAACTATTCACCAAGATTTATTTAAAAAATAAATGGCTGAATTTTATTTTGGCCAAATGAGCACATACTTTTAATGTTCTTATTAGTGATTATGATCAAGTCTAATAATCCAAAGGTGAAGCAGCTGAATCAGCACCTTCATCCTCATCTGTTAATTCATATTGATGTTGATGGTGAATTCTGTTTAACTCTTAAGTGTTACAAACTGCTGCAAATACTGTAAACCAAAAAATATTTCTGCATGTTATTATTGTTATGATTAACACATTAAACAGTGCTGTGGTGAATGACTGCAGTAGTTTGTTAAAAACATTGATTATAGACAAAAGTAAATCCATTAACATTTTGTTTACTACAAAACAATATTCTGACAGACTGTAATACACTACAGGAAGTGTAGGGGGCGATATGGCTTTTACTGTTTCATTTAAAAAGCCTCTATAATGTTCATATGATCCACACAGTCACTCTGACAGACTGTACTACACTACAGGAAGTGTAGGGGGCGACATGGCTTCTACTGTTTCATTAAAAAAGCTCTATAATGTTCATATGATCCACACAGTCACTCTGACAGACTGTAATACACTACAGGAAGTGTAGGGGGCGATATGGCTTCTACTGTTTCATTTTAAAAGCCTCTATAATGTTCATATGATCCACACCGTCACTCTGACAGACTATAATACACTACAGGAAGTGTAGGGGGCGATATGGCTTCTACTGTTTCATTTACAGAGCGCTCTGTTGTGAATGTGTGCAGGGGCTCGTTCTCGGAGGTGTTCCTGGTGAGGGAGAGGAAGACGGGGAATTTCTACGCCCTGAAATGTGTGAAGAAGAAGCAGCTGGATCACAGCAACCTGGAGAACGAGATCACCGTCCTCAGGAGGTCTGAGAACCGCGCTTTAGATCCTCACATTCACAGAACAGGGCTGTCACGATCCCACGGTTCTGACTTTGATGCTGAGTGTAGCGTCACAGAGCCGCCATGATTACTTGATTAAACTCAGTTACTCTAATTTAAACAGTAATCAGTGAAGATTTACCTCACCGCCCCGCCTACCAGCCCGCTAGCCTCTCTTAGCGGTGAGCTGGGGGGGTAATTGATGGAGAATGTGCTGTAGATGGTTCTGTATAGAACCTTTCTAAAAAAGTGTTCTACATAGCACCAAAAAGGGTTCTTTCATTGCTACAGTGTCAGGCTTTTTACAATAGAAGAACCCATTTTGGTGCTATATAGAACCCTTTTCAGAAAGGTTTTATATAGAACTATTGACAGCACATTCTCCATCAATTTGAAGAACAATTTAACCCTACAGAGAACCATTTAACCATGCAGAGAACCATTTAACCATGCAGAGAACCATTTAACCATACAAAGCGCTCTTTGAGTGTGCATGGTTCTATATAGAACCATTTTCTTTACTAAAGAACCCTTGAAGAACCATCTTTTGTAAGTGTGTGCTGCACTTCTCTTCGGTACCTGCGCTCTATTATCACAATTTCATCTTTAATTTAAATTTCTTCTCTTTTAAATGTTTTCATCCTGTTTTAGTTTCTATTTTCCTTCATCTTATTAAACTATAATTTGAATTATCTTTGTATTTTCTCGTTTGTAAAGCACTTTGAATAACTTGGACATTTAGTTTTAAATGTATCCTTACATTTATTTCATGATTTCCAAGCAATTATTCTTTCATGATGTTTCAGTGTTTGGTGTTTAGTATTTCATTAAGCATCATTTTCACACTATAAACTTCACATTCTGGGTAAATAACATTAATAATATTAATATTAATACATTAAAATAGTCATCGGTCTCCTTTTCTTTGATCATCTATCGCCGTCTGTCCTGAGAAACATTAATGTAATGATTTCTTCTCTTTTTTCTGTTTTCCTCAGGATTAAGCATAAGAATGTGGTGGGTCTGGAGGATTTCTATGAAACTCGCACACACTACTACCTCGTCATGGAGCTGTGAGTGTCTCTCTCTCTCTCTCGTCCACAGATGTAGATGATGTGTGCCGCGTTAAGCCGGGGTTACACTACACGACTTTCACCCTGATTTTAGCCCTGAGTCTCAGTCTCAGTCTGAGCTGGTGGCTCTGGTCTGCAGATGTTTGGGTCAGTCGGAGTTGACAGTTGGAGAGAGAGTCGAGTCGTGTGTGAGCGGCGCTGACTCAGATTTACAGCCTCAGATCGAGTTTCAGACCAGTCGGAGTTTATCAGACACGTTTGAGTTTTTTAACCCGACTCTGAGTGAAATCTAGTGTAAACGACTCAGCGTGAACAGATTCCTGCAGCAGCCAATGAGAACTGAGAGTGAACGAAGAAAATACAGCAAGTAAGTCTTTCATATGTGGAGCTGCTGCTTCTGTACTCTGTCAGCGCAAATGGCAGAGAAAACAGGAGAACGTGTGAGTTCGCGTGAGTTCGCGTGAGCTCCGTTCGGTTCAGCAGCACCTGGAGAGTTGAGTTGTGTGTGATCCCGAATCGTTTAGTGTGGATCCTCAATATTTCAGTCGCCCAGAATAATCTTCAGAACCCAGTCAGACAGTGTGTGTAAGGGTTCAGCCGGCCCCGCCTGCTGCCAGCAGAGGGCGACGGCGGCAGGGTGTCCAGCCTGCGCCGCCTGCTGCCAGCAGAGGGCGACGGCGGCACAGGGCCATAACTTCAGGGAACTCCAATTCCCAGAAGTCCGCGGGCTGATTCGGCCCAACGCGACACACCTGCGGACTCCTCTACTTAAGGTCAAGGCAAACAGTGGTGTTTGTCACACCTTTGTAGAGGGGTGACCGGTACGGTACTTAGTGTCAGAAAAGAAAAGAAAAGAAAAGAAACGAAAAGAAAAGAAAAGACAAAACAAAACTGCCCCAAAACTAAAAAAGAAAAAGAAAAGAGGGCTGAGAGAAGAAACTGTCCTAAAGCTACTTAAAGGGAAAAAAAAGTCTGCCTTCCCTTCGTTTTTGGAGTGGAAGTGTTTTTTGTTTTCCTTTTATCTGTCCTTTCGCCTCTCTAGTTCAGCCTTTGTTTGAGCTGCTCTCAGTGGCGCAGTGGTAACGCCACGAGGCACCGATCAGTCCATCGCCGGTTCTAACCTGGCTTTGGGTCACTTCATATGTATGTGTCAGACTCACAACCCAGTGCCACAATAAACTCATTTTTCCATTTTTTCTGTTTCCATTTCTGCACTTGGGTCCGCCTCCCCGCCGTCCCGTAACAGTGTGGAGAGTCTGTTACGACTTTAAAAGTCGTATAGTGAACTCACTTTGAAAATGTCACGTTTGTGCTCATGTACAGTTTCTTTTGTGTGTGTGTGTGTGTGTGTGTGTGTGCGTGTGTGTGTGTGTGTTAGGGTCTCTGGAGGAGAGCTGTTTGACCGTATCCTGGACAGAGGTGTGTATACGGAGAAGGACGCCAGCCATGTGATCTGGCAGGTGCTGGAGGCCGTGGCTTACCTGCACCAGAACAGCATCGTCCACAGAGACCTGAAGGTACAAACACACACCTGTGCTCTGATACAGCACTTTGATGCAGCGCTCTAAATGACGGCCGCCCTGCGGACGCAGCCGCGTCCGGCAGGAAAAGGGCTTTTCGCACTGTAAGGTCAGCAGCGTTACTCCGACCACTGGATCAGAGACCTGGGTTATTGTCTCACAGTGGAGATTAAGCACATCCTCAGGCTCAATAGCTGAATATTATGAAGTGCGGAGCCTTTTTAGGATAAAATAAAGCTTCTGCATCTAAAGTGACTGTGTGGTCAGTGGTATTAAGGGCAGCGCTGAGATCAAGCAGTAATAGAACAGATGTTTTTGCAGAGTCTGTATTTAAGCAAATGTCATTAATAACCTTAATTAGAGTCGTCTCAGTACTGCGATTGGGCGAAAGCCTGACTGAAATTAGTCTGGACAGATATTTAAGGACAGACTGCCAGTCAGATGCTTGATGACAATTTCCCAACACTGCTGACTGTCAGTCCAGCTCCACTGTAGTGAATAACATTCAACAGTACAATTTTAATTCAAAGGCTGCTGAAAAAAACAGGAGAGTTTGGGAAAAACTACATCAGAGCTCAGACGACGAGACGATTCTGGTGCTCCAAGGCGACGCAGGAGGCTACGCTAACCTGGTAGCTAACGTTAGCATGTGTTTAGCGATTCCCAGCTTTGTTATCGACTCAGCTCTCTTGGATCTCCAGTGGAGGTGATACCAAAAATAGCACTGGGTACCAAGTTTGCCTAAAGGAGAACCAAAAAAAGGCGAAAGGTGGAAAAGCAGCATAAGTAAACACTGCTAGAGATCAAGATGGCTGACCGGCCTGTCTGGCCAGTTTAGTGTTGTCCTTTAAGACGAGACAATTAAACCATTCATCGCAATTATTCTATCACAATTAATCATCGGCTAATATTTACCGTGGCACCACTGGTTCTAACACAAACGCCTGTTGTGCCGCCCCGTCTCTGTCCTCAGCCGGAGAACCTGCTGTACTATAACCAGGATGAGAACGCGAAGATCATGATCAGTGATTTCGGACTGTCCAAGATGGCTGACCATGGCGTGATGCACACAGCGTGTGGAACTCCAG